TGCATTGTGCGCAGCTAGGCTGCATACGATGCGCTCCCGGTGCCTGTCACAGATGCGTGGGTGCGACCAGGCGTCAGTGTGCAGAGCAACAAGCCGCAACTGGGTGTGGACGTGGAGCATGAGACGCCACCGTCACTTCCCTGGCATTCTTGATGACATGCCGCTCTGTTTACCAGTGCCTGTGTTCTATTTTCGAGGCCTCCCGGATGCCAAGGAGATAAATCACATGTGTGGGTGGAATAACACGTAGGGACATGACATGAAGATTGCTTGGGCACAAGAATTCCCTCTGCTCCAAGCTCTTGGGGAATAGAACATGGGTAGATGGTCACGAGCATGGCACGGTATGCGACAATGCCACACTGGGAAATATTTTACTAGACACAAACACATATTCTGTATTAATTCTGCACGGAAAGCCTAAAACCTCTGGCTGCACTTGAAACAGTAGAATTAGTGAATGCTGCTGGTAGTTCCGCTGTGTATTTGCTTTTGCGCAACAAAACGAGCGCTTGTATGGACTACGAGATCATGGGAATGTGTTTTGACTAGTGTGGCAGTGCCATGGTGTTTTAACTCCTTATGGTGTTATCATGATGGTAGCAAGCAACCAGCACTGCAGGGTTCCTTGCACCCCATGTGTCAATGACGGGCTGGCCCGCGGGCAACGAAATTGCATTCACGACACGAGCTCTGGTAGTTGTACTGTTGTGTCCACCGATACAAGGTGATTCCACCAATACAGGGTGATTCCACCGATACAGGGTGATTCCACCAATACAGGGTGATTTCACCGATACAGGGTGATTCCACCAATACAGGGTGACACCGATACAGGGTGATACCGGTGCTGTGTATGACTAGAATGTGTTGGTCTCTGCCCATACCCAGTTGGGACTGATCCATACACCTCTCGACTGCTCAGTTCACAGTGTGCACATCATATATTGACGCGCAAGGCCGGCGGTGTGTCTACGGATGTGAACACGTCAGTCTGACTAAACCGGATGGACCCACACGCGAGCCGCGAAATGCCGTATCAATCGGTACAATCGCAACAAACACGAGAGATGGGCGGATTATTTCCCATTTACTAACCGAAAACATGGCATTTCGACAGGGCGAATACAGGAAAACACAAACACGACGTTTTGAAAAACCTGATTGCTTCAGCTCTTCGTGATAAGCACCTTATTACATCTGCTTCACACCATGTACCACTTGAAGGAAAACATGAAGGAAAACATGAAGGACCAGCTGTGGAAAAGACAAGTATGTACGGACACAGTAGATTACCAACTGATGGACTTCCACAGCCACACTACTCTTAAGGCCAGCTTTGTGTCGATCACGGGTAGCTCAGGGGCTGATTGACCACCAGCAGCAGCAGCAACACTCTGGAAGTGTGAGGGGACTGCGTTTAGCCAGGAGCTAACAACTCCGGCGGCCAGTCTTTCTTGCGTGACCGATGTGAACGCTTCTTCAAGCGTGATTACTCATAGATTACTCATACAATCACTATGTAGTATTGTGGTCTAGGCTGTAGCCTCATTCACAGGAGACTCAGTGCAGCCAACATCCCCACACACGAAACGTGTTGTTAGAGAAACCCATTCGTTTTGGAGTAGCTCCACGTGCGTGCACCTCTTTCTGGAAAGTTCTTGGGGTGGATGCGCCACTTCTCAGCGTGTGGAGTTGGGTGCGGCTGCATGCATGTGTTATCCCATTGTTCTGGATCCAGAACAGATGCATGTTTACTCTTAGAAGTAGGGATTAGCTGCGTATTCAGAACCAACAAGTGATGAGCCCTCAAGGGCAATGGAAATAGATAATCAAGACGTGTGCTGGCAGCTTTCTGACATGCTGTTCAGAATGTGTCACCCAGTATACATGACAGCCGTATTGTCATGGCTTGGGACAGTGCTCGCGTGCTGTGCCCGTCAGGCGTGCACGCGTGCGTGGGTGTGACGAGGCACCATTGTGCGGAGTAACACGCCGCTACTCTGCATGAGGACCCGACCACCTATGGGACGGGACTACTCTGCTCAGTGCTTGGCAGTGTTACGGGTGTGATTGCAAGTGTAAACGGCGAGAACATTCTCATCGACATTCCTAGAGAACTCACAACGGCCGCTAGCACCCGGAATATCTCACGGACCTGTGTTCTATATTTGAAACTGTCCGGATGCAACGCAAACAAGTCACGTGCAATCATGTAGCTCATAGTCATTGTAAGCGGCTAGACATTTGTGTGTGTGCCAAGCGCTGGTGCAACCACTATCACACCCCCTTTCCTATTAGCGTATGCCTGGCACCCACCCAAAGCAAAACCAGTGGTACTGTTTTTCACATTCCCATACTGTCTGCATTGACATGAACAATGAGCGGCATGTGACAATACAACGCCGATAAGGCGATAAGGCATATTCTCATGAGACGAAACGGATACAACAGCAGCCACGGGGCCATCTCCAAAAGGAACAGACGGCGACAGGGCAGGCTGGCAATCTTGCCGTGTGCATTCTATTGTACATGGTCACACGTTAGCACTCATCGCTACTTCAGACAGTGAGTACTACATTCAGTGAGCAAGCTAGATACTGGTATGGCATGTATTCTGACCAGTGTTGCTCTATTTGAGACTATCGAGATGCTGCTGGCAATGTGCATGGACCATTGTAGCAGTTTTCGCTTACGCAACTCCATTTCCTTAGAAGAGTGTGAGTGTATGTGTGTAGTGGTGGTGTGTGCGTGGTGGTGGTGGTGGTGGTGGTGGTGGTGTGCGTGTGTGTGTGTGGGGGGGGGGGGGTACACATAATACCAGTGACCTTGGCGTTATTGGCGGACACAGAGTAGCATGCGTGTAGTGGATGGGAGTTTTGCTCTTTGACCACTTTGGTATTATGCCGCATGTACCCCTCCCCCCCCCCCCCCCCCCACACACACCGAGTTACATGGTAAACTCGATACATTGACCTTGAAGGTGATGGTATACCTATACATGCAAAAAATGTCAGTCTGACTGACTCTCACACGAGCTATGGCATGTATTTCTAATAACTTGTTAGATACGATCAAAACAGACACGAGAGTACCCATGCCCATGCTGTAGCACAGCCAGCTTTCCATTCACAACCAAATTTGACAAAGAAACCACGCATACACACAAACACACATCTTGGCAGCCTGATTGTTTTAGATCTTCTTGATAAGCGACTTTATGACAGTACAAATACACCGACAAGACAGGGAAACACTAATGTTTCAGACCTTCGTGATAAGCGGCACGCTGCACCTGCTCCACGCCATGTAGCGAAGACAAAAAACAGCATGATCAGCCGTGGAGGTAGCATGTACCGACACAGCAGATCACCAACTGATGGCTTTTGCTTTCACAAGCATCCTGTTTGTAAGGCCTGAATTCCGCTGATCACACCTGGGTCGGGAATCATTGACCAGGCATCACCGGAAGCCTTGCCGACTCTCAAGATCCCAGTGCACGCTGCAGAGCTTGCGGCAGACGGGCGTTTAGTGAGCGGTGCTCGCGGATATAATGCCGGCCTTGCACAGTCACGGCTCATAAGCAGTACGGGCTTGTCAGAAATACTGATAACTTGCTTTGCACACGTATCAGTTGGAACTCTGCAGTAAGTTAGAGTGGAAACTAGACACGTGCTAGAGTACCTCAACTAGAAGCTCAATATTGTTTTCCTACCTAGGTGTCTTCTCCAAGAAATGAACCGCCTAAGACTTAGCAGACCTTCTTTAGATCAGCAGTGACTGTGCATGCATGCTGCGACACATAACATGTGACTGCTCTCAGCTACAGCAAACTCGCTCGACCTGTCACTTGTCGTGATCAGCTGTAGACCTACTACCTGCAACGCATGGCTGTGCAAGGCTCCTTGGCAAAACAGTGCCATGGGCACAACTTGGCAGTACACATAGCACCACGGGGCACCCGCACAGTATACGCAGTGTCATGAGGTTGTCACGAGCTTGATGATAACAATCCATGTAGCCAGTCTTTTATTCCTTATCGACATTTATGAGCATGTCTTCTTGGCATGACCACATACACAACTACTTAAATCACCATACGTGAGGCTGTGACATGCAACTCAATGCCACTCGGTGCTGCTAGCATTCTACACACAACCTGTGCTGTTAGCGTCTTTATCTAACGTTACTACACGGGGGAAGCATGGATGCAGCGGATGGGATTTTCGATTTTTGATCACTTTGGTGGGTCTGATCTACTCACCTCCCACCGCTTCAGGAGCTGCATCTGCACATTGATCCTTGGGGGTGGTGGCGTTCCTACGGAATGTGAACCATGATTTTTTTATCACACTTTGAACAGAACATTCCATTTCCACTCACCTTGGTTCTTGACCAGGGAGTTGTACGACTCCTTGTTCTTGACCTGCCCGGTACGCGAACCAGTCGAATCTATTTTCTTGCGTGGTTTTAGAAAATGGGTTTCAGCACCCTACACATAATGTAGTCTTTAAGTTCCAAAAAGCAACTTCTGTTATTCGAACGCAGGGACCAGGTTGCTGGTGAGAATTTAGCACCAGCCATAGCCCAGAGCTGGAAAGAAAACGAGTTGCTTTGCATGCAACATGGACACATGGACAATCAGACCTTCACACGCGGAGTCAGGTGGTAGAGCGCTTGATGCCGCTGCCAATCAACAGCCTTCTTTCAAAATATGCCGCTGCCTGAGAAAAGGGGGCACCTATCACTGTAAGTTAGCATGTGCATGGTCGCAAAAATATTTTCGAGTAATTGCCAATTGCCAGGGTAATTTTTAGTGATTACCCTGCATTGTCACATTTTCGCATAAAGTTAAAACGTATATTTTCTGGTGAAAAGTGGTCATCAAGGGAAGTCTATTTGCACACACATCTCTACCACTATCAAACTAGTCCCCCGGTTAAGCTTTATACGACTTACCTGTCAGGCATCAGCTCCATACATCACAGCAATGTCCTTACCCTCTCAACGCTTCCTGGGGTGAAGTCCGTACTGTCTCCAAACACACCTCTGCAGAAAATACACAGGAAAAGGTCCTGCTTTGATCAGACTATATTGCCATAAGTTTGAACTGGGTTTCCAATTTGGGGTGGCCGTAGCAATGATTTGTGTCACGTCTAAACAATTTCATAGGATTGTGCAGTTTTGCTGCCAAGGGTTGGACCATATCTGCATAGGCTACCACCACAGCCGGGTTAGTCCTCTGCAGACCACAATCATACATGCATGTTTAGGCGTGCTTTGGCTCATGCAGTATAGAATGAGTTTACGTCTGTCCTCCCTAATTTCAAAATCATACATTTTGCGCAGGCCCAATAAGTACTATGCCGGTTGTCTACTGTGAATCTGAGGTCAAGCGCCACGTGGCCAAATACACTGCAATATACAGTGAAACCGGTCTAAGACGACCGCACAAGGGACCTTCAAAATGTGGTCCCTGTTACCAGGTGGTCTCCTTATCCAGGGTCATTTGACAGGAAATGGCATCCCTTGATCCTGTTTTCAGTGGTCTTCTTGGACAGCTGGTCGCCTTAGCCGAGTGGTCGCCGTGACAGGTTCTACCGTACGAGTAACTGCCCGCAGTTGCAACTACAATGCAGATTTAGTGAGCATGAACAATAGTAGTCAGCGTGCGGGACGTACAATAGTATTCCCAGGCGGGTTCAGTGAAAATCAGCTACTTACGTGTCAACTACGTAGGCCACCACTCCTTGACCAGCATTTTCTGCAATGATACAGGCACACCAATCAGAACTTGAGGCTGGAGGACTCTGAAGTGAAAATTGTACCTGCGTGTGTGGGAGGGGGGGGGGGGGATTACCATCTATGCTGGTCATTCAAGGGACCAAAAGTGATAGTAGTCAATCGTATTTTCAGCTGGGAATTTGATCACCTCATGTTGCCACTCGCCACATGCCATCACATGCAGCAGTGGCTAACAAACAATTACTGTAAAACATGTACTTGTAATTTTAGGTGCATTAAAATTTCGGTGGCAGGAACCTGCCAGGTTTCAGGTGTAATCAAATTTTAGAATTAGGTGACCAGCGTTCCCTTCACATACAGTGCATACTCTAGTGCCTTTTAGGTGTAATTTACATTTAGGTGCCTGGTTTCTCAGGCTACCGAAATCACCGAAATTTAAGTTACACCGAAAATTACATGTTTTACCGTGAGTATGCTGTCTGTGTGTACGATGCAGCAACAGCAGAGCATTTTCTGGGATCTGAAATTATGTCTACCTATTATAATAAATCTTCAACATGTGTAGGCTTTACAACAGGCCACTATTACTGCAATGCACATCCTCATGCACAGCCTGCAGGACCTAATTTCACAACAATTTGACATGTATTGATGGTTGGTTTTCAGTACGCCAGCTTCGCCAGCTTCTCAGCTTCGAACATTTCCTGAGAACGGAACATGTGCGATGAAACATTAGCTCTGACTGCAATACGATACATTGGCACAAGAAAATCCACGAATGTTCTCAAATGCACGTTTGCAATGTCTATACTAGCAATGCTGACCTTCATAGTCATATATGGGCCGGTCGCGGGCATCAGTAAGCTGTCGGAAATTGATCCTAGCAAGAGGCTGCAAGGCACACAGGGAAAGGACGCCAACATGATGTTATGCGTATTGGTCAGCCATGACATGGCAGAATAACAGACACAGTACAACGTGTCATTTCCCTACACTTCATTATGCATGTGCTCCATGTGACACTGTCAATGAGGGTGAGAGCGTATCCGTTCCCGTCATGTTAAGCATGCAGCTGTGACGTGCACCAAATTTCATATCCGTCGCCCACAGTCATGGTATATGAACTACACCATCGCCGTTTCTGAGCACCGAGGCCCATAGTACGACACTGTACTGTGCAGTTCATATTACTGCTTTGCGCTGTGTGTGTGTGTGTGTGTGTGTGTGTGTGTGTATGGGGGGGGGGGGGGGCAGGCGTCATCACAGGAGAATCTGCGAGGGCCGCTGTATTGCTTTGCGGGGAAGTGATGACAGTTTGTGCAGCATACTGTTCTCCTGCATCAGTCTCTCCTGTCTCCCCAGTGTCACCAGCAACTGAATCAACAGGTGACATGTTAACATAGCAGAGGACTGAATATCACATTGGCAATAAAAAAATTCACAGTTCGCATGAGACTCATTGGCAATGGCATAGATATAATACGAGTAAGGAGCAACGCTGGACCTTACATCCTGGACGTTGGTGTCGCGGGCACAAGTCTGACTGCTCTGACGTGCTCTCAAGCGATGACCAGCACCGTGTGAGCGGCGCTGAGTGGCAGCACCTCTCCGTTTCCGCTTCTTGCCAAGCCCGCGGAGCTGCGACACGTAGAAGGGTGGCAAGCGAGGCTGGCGCAGGAAAAAGGATGGAAACGATGCTAGCCTGGCCTCGTTGACAAGAGACTGGATCAATGGGACAATGTCATTAGGCTCGATGAAGTCAACAAGAGCATCGGCACGCAACGCAGCTGTGAAGCTGTGACAACGAAAGAGCGTACAGTACAAAATGTCATCAGACTTCGGAGAACCGTCTAGAGAGACGGTTATACACGTACGTCTCTGGTATCTAGAGTCAAGCAACGGTCACTAGGAGAGTTAAATGCTGTCGGTAAAATCAAGAGTACCATAAAGTAACACGAGAGTGCCCCACCATCACTCCCTCTCTTGGTCCGGCGTGTGTAGAGGTAGTTTCCTTTTTGTAGGTCACACCACACATACCTTGTACACACATCGCATGCTGTGCAGTCAAGCTGTACTCAGTTTGCCTTGGAACGATGTACGAGCTGCACACAAGAACATGCTGAGTGTGACCTTAGTACACTAAGATTCTCACAACTCCTCAAAGCTCCTCGGTGTAAAGTAAAGTAAAAAATAATAATTATTGTCTCCGTTCCCGAAGGTGTGAACAATCTAAAAACCGTGTCACTAGTACATGTATATATCTTCACAATGATACAAGCATATCTTACCATTCACTGGCTATCATGCTGAATGCTTGTAACTCGTTCATGTGATAGCGGAATGTGACACGAGACGAAGCCGTGTCGCTGAGGAGCTGCGATGACACCGTAGTGATGAATTGATCAGCTACATGGTACACAGGAAGTAGATGATGTCAAACAAGAATGATGTGGTAGTTCGGTGCAGGCAGACTTGTCTTAGTGCAATGCCGGCAACAGTGCCAGAAACAGCAAATTTCACACCATCAGTTTCATTCAGAAACTAGAGTCTGGATCAACCATCACCAGCAGGACTCCACCCGCGGACATTCGATATGCATATAGGCCAGAGATGCCCTGACTTCTGAGCTATGGTGTAGTAATCAAACCATCAGAGACTGTCCTACTACCTCCGACAAGCGAAACTTGGCGCGTTTTTTTATTTTTTGTGTTGGTACCACAACTTCACAAGGCTGTGAGTGTGAGGTACGACCTACTTGTAGCTCCATGCAACCGGGTGCAGGAAGCCAAGCCACAGGCTGGTGAGTGGCACATGGCTCAGACTTAGTCAGAGGCAAGCCAGTCTCTCGTGTACCAGCAAAACAGTGCGCGCGTCCATTCTGCGAAGGAGAATCGTCGTGATTTCGCGTTGCAATGGAAAACCAAGGAGTTCTCTCTCTCTCTCCACTTGGTCACTCCGCCAGCACAGAGTCCATACGTCCATGCCAAACAATCCTAGCGTCTTTCAGAGCGATGCGTCTCTGGTGGCTAAGGAAAATCGCCAGGAATTGCTGCAGGCAATTTTGGACAGTTGGCGAGAAAACCCGGCAAAACAGTTGGAGTCGATGCGCTTGTGGAGGTGTTGCACAGTTCTTACCACGTCAACCTGGATAGTGGCGGCGGAAACGACTACCCTCGATACCGTGGCTCAAGCACAGCACACAGGAGCGACATTGAGATTTTCAGAGCGAATACAACAGAGGTACTTGCTGCAACTGAATCCGCTCTAGTCGCACTTTCGTCTCAAAACAGGAACAATTCCTCTCCAGACGAAACTGCGATCTCTGAATCAGAGGAGAGTGATTCAGCCGAACAGATGTCTCTAATGTCCTTGTTGAGCAATACAAAGTTGAATTTCGGTGAGTCAATCATTAGTTTTGATTGTAAAGTGTGAGTTTTTTCTAGTAATTTGCAGTAAAAAAACGCGCCAAGTTTTGCTTGTCGGAGGTAGTACATCTTTTCCAGACTTCAAAGCATCACCATAAATCAAACTTCTTCCCTCAAACTTCCACGACTCTCCGGCAGCTGTCCACTAGCTCCCCATCAAAATTGGCCATGGGCACATTGAAATTCAAAAAATAAATAATGAAAATCCGCGGCCCGCATGAGACTCAAGGCGAGTTTTCCACATCTACCGGAATGCCACCACACTCAAGGATCAATCTCCGGATGCAGCTCCTAAAGCCTCCACTCACTTGCCACGGGCACATGTTTGGCTACTGAAATCCCATGCAGGCAGGCATACACCCTATTTGATTGAGAAGAAGGGCCAGTAGCTTTTCCGAGTCAATTGGTACTTACCCACGGCTCGTGGTGTATCCGTGAGCAGCTTGACAATGCTGTCCTGCGTCACATCAGGCCTACACGGCCTTTCGATCGGCGATGCAGTGGAAGGCGGTGGCATGTTAGTATGTACAGCGCCGGGGTATTTGCGATCCAACGTGCCACCACCTGTTGGAGGATATTTCAAAACACGGAGATGTTTGTGAACCTGATGAAGGCAATTTGCTGAAATGTTTTAATCATTGTGAAATGAGTTGAATTATTGCAGTGTTAATGGGAGACAGCGTGTGGGCTCTACTCGTACCTGTTTATGAAACTGATGGAAGCCTCGCTACTTTTACTAGTACGGAGATGCTTGTATGCCAAAGTCATTAAATTTTACAGTGTACAGTGGAGCTCTGGTAAGATGCATGCATCCACATGGGAACAGCAAAGTGTGCTTAGTATAAGAGATGCTTCTTATCAGAACACAATTCACTGTGGAACAATACAATCGTGCCTAGAACAATGTCTGTACTAAGCGTAAGAGTACGTACTAGGTGAGCGCCATTGTACAAACTCTTCAGCATCACGTACCATGGATATAACATGTCTGTCTGTCTGTCTCTCTCTCTCTCTCTCTCTCTCTCTCTCTCTCTCTCTCTCTCTCTCTCTCTCTCTCTCTCTCTCTCTCTCTCTCTCTCTCTCTCTCTCTCTCTCTCTCTCCCTCTCTTTCTCTCTCTGCTATTGGCGTGCCTGGTTGTGATGAAGCCGAGACCCAAGGTCGGCAGAGCATCCCAGACCACGCCACCACTCCCCTTATTCATGGCTCACACATGACGGGTTCACGTGGCTCTAGTAAAAAAATACCACGGGATATAACGTTAGGCAATTATCCTGAGGACCCCGCAGGTATTGGATCTCGGACATACGAGAGAGCTTGGAAGCTCAGGGCCCTACGTTATGCTTTTTTGCCTTGATGACCTAGACAAAAAAAAGCATAGGGATGTTATAAATTCTTTAAAAAAATCCTTTTTTTAAAGACATAACCTGGGATTCGAACCCGCACTATCGCGCGCCCTGCATGCATCCCCCGATATACTTCGCATACATACTAATTCTTCCAAGTTGTTTCACATTGTGATCTTGCATTTGAAAGTCCTATTTGAATATGCATTGTGGCCAGCCGTCTTTGATGGCACGGTACGGTAGGGGATAGGTACGGGACAGGTACGATCGAGGGTAATACGACACCGTCTCCCGTACCGTACCGTACCATCAAACACAGCTGGCCACATACAGCTGCCCGCAATATTCAAATAGGGCTTTCAAACGCAAGATAATAACGTGAAGCAACTTGGAAGAATGGGTATGAATGCGAAGTGTATGGGGGAATGCATGTAGGGCGATAGTGCGGGCTGGAATCCCAGGATATGCCTGAAAAAAAATAGGAGAATTGAAAAATTTATAACATCCTATGCTTTTTTGCCATCAGATACGGATAGCGCCAGGCGTGACACAAACACACAAACAAATACCAAATTAAAGCTGTGTGGACCCTGGCTAGCGCCAGACGTTACTGAAGTAACGTCTTCTGCATAGCTACGGGAATAACGAGAGAGCTTGGAAGCTCAGGGCCCTACGCTATGCTTTTTTGCCTTGATGACCTAGACAAACAAAAGCATAGGGATGTTATAAATTCTCTAAAAAATTCCTTTTTTGTAAAAACATAACCTGGGATTCGAACCCGCACTATCGCGCCCTGCATGCATCCCCCGGTCTTTGAAAAATTCCTTTTTTTAAGACATAACCTGGGATTCGAACCCGCACTATCGCGCCCTGCATGCATCCCCCGGTCTTTGAAAAATTCCTTTTTTTTTTAAGACATAACCTGGGATTCAAACCCGCACTATCGCGCCCTGCATGCATCCCCCGGTCTTTAAAAAAATCCTTTTTTTTAAAGACATAACCTGGGATTCGAACCCGCACTATCGCGCCCTGCATGCATCCCCCGATACACTTCGCATACATACTAAGTCTTCCAAGTTGCTTCACATTATTATCTTGCATTTGAAAGCCCTATTTGAATATGCATTGTGGCCAGCCGTCTTTGCTGGTACGGTACGGTAGGGATAGGTACGGGACAGGTACGATCGAGGGTAATACGACACTGTCTCCCGTACCGTACCATCAAACACAGCTGGCCACATACAGCTGCCCGCAATATTCAAATAGGGCTTTCAAACGCAAGATAATAACGTGAAGCAACTTGGATGAATGGGTATGAATGCGAAGTGTATGGGGGAATGCATGTAGGGCGATAGTGCGGGTTCGAATCCCAGGATATGCCTGGAAAAAAAAATAGGAGAATTGAAACATTTATAACATCCCTATGATTTTTTGCCGTCAATACAGGATAGCGCCAGGCGTGACACAAACAAACAAACAAACACACAAACAAACAAATACCAAACGAGAGAGCTTGGAAGCTCAGGGCCCTACGCTATGCTTTTTTGCTTGCTCATCATGCATGTGACGTGCCAAAGCCGTGTGAACCCTGGCTAGCGCCAAAGGATACTGAAGTAGCGTCTGTTGCACTACTACGGCGTTAATATTTTTTGTATATTTTTAATTTTTAATTTTTTTGTTACGTTTCCTGTGAACGGTAGGCGTATGCGGATAATGCCGGCAGAAAAATTGGCAAATTCGGTACTTTTTTGGTAAGTTTCCTGCATGTTTGGTATGTGGATAAAGAAATGGAGCAGAATTCGAGGAATTGCCCGCCATAGGTTTGTATGGTTCTGCCAATTTCACTGATTTTCGAGCAGAATCTGCCACCTTTTCGAGCATTATCCGCACACCCCTAGTGACCGGCGCTGACTCTGCCGATCACGGGCGTTCTGGAGTCGACGCGATGTCTGTCCTGCCGTTTCCTGTGACCGGGGCTGACTCTGCCGATCACGAATGTTCTGGAGTCGACGGGATCTCTCTTCCGACGTTTCCTGTTACCGGCGCTGACTCTGCCGATCACGGACGTTCTGGAGTCGACGGGATCTCTCTTCCGACGTTTCCTGTGACTGGCGCTGACTCGCCCGTTCAGGATTATTTTGGAGACGACGGGATCTCTCTTCCAAAGGTTGTTTTAGCTGACGCATCATGTCACATATTCGGCAACTAACGTCCATTCTAATTGCATTTCTTCATCTCCCTACTTCGTATTTCTTTCAAGAAAATCTCCCTAGACAGCACGGAGTCGTTTACATAATACGACTCCCTGCTATACATCTATATACGTTATAATTATTATGCTATCGGCCTACATGCGATTCCCGGGCTGGTCGACAGGCGGCCCAGCCAGCCTGCTAGTGGGATCTCGGCCTCGCACACAAATCCACACAAAATGTTACTGCACTGAATGCATTCCCCCGATACACTCCGCATATATACTCATTCTCTTGATTGTACCGTATTCTTGATGGTACGGGACAGGTACGGGATAGCGTCAGGCATGCCGATGGCACAAACAAACCAAAATATATTGTGGCCAGCTGTCTTGGCTGGTACGGTACGGTACGGTACGGGACAGATACGGGATAGCGCCAGGCGTGACACAAACAAACAAACAAACAAACAAACAAACAAACATCAAATTAAAGCTGTGTGGACCCTGGCTAGCGCCAGACGTTACTGAAGTAACGTCTTCTGCATAGCTACGGGAATTAAAGCTGTGTGGACCCTGGCTAGCGCCAGACGTTACTGAAGTAACGTCTTCTGCATAGCTACGGGAATAAATCCATTTAGGTCGCAGATCATTTACAGTCATTGGAGGTGTGTTATTATACTGATGCTTCAAGGTAGCAGTATCTTCATGGCCGGTTGAAGTAACTGCTGCACTGAGCAAGTCCTTTGAAATGCTCTATCATCAGGGAGCCTTGTGAGCCAGTGAGTTCATGGGTATCCCAGAGCAAACCCGTGTTCCAAAACGCATGCACATAAGTACACAATAGTCGTGGAGACGCTGTTGATGTCACCCACCGTTTGATATCACTTGCTCCTTTACCACAGTTCCGCCGCTCCCATTATCACTATCACCATCGCTGTTGCTGCCATCGGCACTGTCCGAGTCCTCCCGCTCGCTGGCATCCTCGAAATGCATTCCATCCACCGTGCTGTCTACATCCTCCGTGTATAATTCCGGGCGCATGCCTGGCAAAGACGATACTGTATGTGCACTAGCATCCGACTGCACTGGTAACAGCAGGTAACCTGGACACAAGCGGCGTCACAAGGGGACTTAGCAACAGTGAGAAAAGGCAGCATGTGAAGAGCTATGGTGTACACATTGTTGCCGCCAAATGCCATCGTGCATAATGAACAACCCAGAGTGCATGCAACATTACTTTGCTCATGAGCAGAATCTGCTTGCATTCAGAGTAAGCTAGCAGTCGTATCTACTTACTTCAACTCTTTTCTATACTCCTTTCTTTTCTTTTCTTGCCGTGGTTGGCTATCACCCCTCCCTCGCACTTTGCGTGCCAATTGGTCATGAACCACGAGTTGAGTGAAATAAATAAAAAATAAAAGTAGGTGAAACGCTACGTAACAGTATTACTCTCCTGGTGATAGCTTCTGGACTGGATCAGCCATGTCAGTGAATTATGTTGGGAATCTACAGTTGTGGCCAAGGAAACCCAACCCGTGAGCTGAAGGCAGTGCCAAGGCGCACGCAGCTTCTGCAGGCCTTGGATGGGTTTTGGATCGTGCATGATGTAATTGAAATGGAAACGTAGCGCTATATTTGATTCGCGGTTCGGATTTCTTTGGCCACGACTGTACAATGTAAATGCCCAAGTCGATAAAACCAGGGTCAAGTCTAACACGTGCTGAAAGTGTGCAAAGAGTAGCATTTTTTTTATGGTTTGGTCCATGTTTTTAATATGGGGTACTCGTACTCAAATGGCATGCGCTGTGCACATAAATCACGGCCTGATCAGTGTGACACTTCACATGCAAGATGTGAACAGTGTACGGAGCAATGAAATACTCTAATTTCAGAAATTTTCGGTGCTCAATATTTTCGGTATGAGAGCAAAAGGCTAGGTTAGGTGAACTGAAATTTTCGGTACAGGAAAGCAGTTCCCCATTGGATTATACGTGTTAGTGTTTGTTCGATGTATTGAAATTTTAGGTATGAAACAGATGCACCGAAAGTACCGAAAATATAAGTACACTGAAAATTTGTGAAATTACAGTACTCACTGATACTCTGTGTGATTCATCAGTGTGTATCATGGGCGACAAGGGCCAGGGTCTTGAAAAGGAGATTTGATCATGATTATGTTTGCAGTGTGATAATGGTGTGACCCCAGGTTTAGCTTGGGTCCCTCCCTGGGCTAATAGGCTTGAGCCACTGAGCATCTCTTACACCAGGACACTACTGTAGCAGTAGTGTCCTGGTGTAAGAGATGGCTTTCGAATTAGAAGTCATCACTACAGACCAACTATTGCAGATAATACTAACATTCATTAGTGACACTTCCGACATGTAGAGATTCCAGTGATTGATTTCTGAATTCTGTTTTCAGTTTGTCAGAATGTCCAGCTTTGCATTCTGGACCGCGTGATGTCTACTCATCGTAACAAGGTACTGGGAATGCTACACTTACCAGCTAGTAAAAGGAGTAGTGGCATCCATGCACTGCTCCAGCGTCCAATAGCGAGCAGCGCACTTGGTCGTCTGCGACTTATTGCTGTCCTGTGTTGCTGTATTCGCCTGGGATGCGAACTACTTGCTCCAAATCTTCTCGCGCTGCTTCGGTGAACTTTGAACTCTGATCTGAAGTCGTCGTCCATTGCGCTTCTGCCTTGCGCAGCAGAACAATTTCGAGCTGTCAATGTCATGTCGATGTCGATGTCTCCAGCAGCGGCCATCGTGTCAGATCGGATGAAGATGGAGAGGTCTTTCCGAGATGTCACTTGGTTTACTCCGCCACAGGCACAGGCAAGAGCCGTGCAGTCTACCATGCACAAGGAATGAAACCCCAGGGTGATGGCTATTGCTGTACTGCTTTTCACTCTGTGTCACATCCACGTACCGGTGTTCCAATGCGACCATCAAATTCTCGTTTCTTCTCCGCCATTTCTGGTGGCGGCTCTCTGTTGTCGAGCTCAGCTAGGGTCGTTGTCCGAGTACTCACGCTTCACGCGGTATCATCCAGGATCACCCAAGTCACCGCGTCCTCTCCCATTGACGTCTGGCGTGAATAATTCAACGAGATAGGCCGCTGCGGGGGCTCCTATCGTCAAATGGGCTCTCGAACATGGTGGCTATCTCGCCAGCATTATGTTTCCTTCGCGCTCTGGAGCAGCCCTTCCACTGGGACAATCCTGCAGGCGTTCGTCGACGGCTACAAGTTCAAGGGGGTCGTTTAGCTCCGTCGTATTTCGGTGGCCGAAAGTGGCCTGACGTCCTAGCTTTCGCTTGTGTGGCTCGCGAACAAAAAATTAAGTGCTCGCAAGTACGAGGTGTCTTCCTTATCCATATTCTTCGCGACGCCATCAGGACTACGCACCTTCAAGCACCCGAAGACGACAAGGTGATAATTGCCCGCATAGTATCGGCATGCCGTCCCTAGAGGTCGATGCCTTCGTATGCCCAACGCTGCGCATTTCATGCCACCGGCTGACCAGCACGCCGACCACTTCAGAAGCCTCGTCACCAGCATCTGGAAGCTAGCATGCCTGGAACGGTTTGACCAGCCTTGAGATGGACATTGCCGTGCGCTCAAACTCAAAGCTCATCTTCGTCCAGCACTGCACGGGGTAGTACTGTGGCCTTCTTGCATGATGTGACGCAAAACTCAGAAATGGTCAACAGCCGCTGAGATGAGAGTGCTCTGTCGGTATTTGCGACATTCTTCGCATGGATAAAACAGCCGTTCTAGCTCGAGCGTGAACAGACCGGAGATTACGTACATCGTTATGCCCTTGCCAATGCAGCTCGTATTTCGCTATGCAAGGACTGACAGTGACTTAGGTCAGTGACTTCTTTTCCGTGCGGTCCTCTACGTCACTTTAGTATGATTGTCTCTCTCGGGTGCACACATCTTCACTTTGTAGAGTTTACTTTAGGGCAACACAGTGGTGAAAGACAGCAAGTGCAAGGAGGACTCGGAGAGAGGGAGACTCGACGGTGCGTTCACACCTTGTACCTAATACTAAACCTTGGCTTGGCTCGCTAGTACTAGTAGTAGTAGCCTACTTTCTAGTAAAAGTAGTAGACGCAGGGGCGTGCTCGGCCCCCCAACTAGGGGGGTGCACGGGAGCCGAGGGGAGCCCCCCCGGCAATTTTCTGCAATTTGTTTGCAAACTTTCTTGAATTTTAGAGCATATTTGCATACATTACAATTGCCTTGGATCAGATTGAAAATTTTTGGGGGGTGCACGTGCCCCCCGTGCCCATCGCCGAGCACGCGCCTGTAGACGTCTATCTAGTCGATATGCCCTAGCACCAGCAGCGCATCACGCGAGTGGGTTCACGCGGGGGTCTGCGGTGACCAGTCGGGATTCAAGTGGATTGACATACATGATTTACATGAGATAGCTATAGTCTAAGAGTTCACACCTGTAATTATGAACCAATCCATGGTCCGTTGGTCGACATCCCTCGGCGGAGGCGTCCATATCATCCGTAGATCTTCTGTAGCGTGCTAGACAAGATCAAGAACGAGTCTTTTTCGAAAGACTCTTCTTGTCTTTACTTGCAGTCGCGAACCTGGTGAACTCATTTTATAACAATGTCACGAATGTGAATTGAAACGGTTTGGAGCCATGAGTCTGTTCGAGAAGGGTGTCATCACTATTTTTGACGAACAAAAGCAAACTTTCGGTCTGACTTCCGTTCCGCCTCGGCGACAACTAACCTGTTACTTTCACTTGCCGCAAAAGGAGGTCGCACCATTCCTCAGCGTGTGCTCTACCATGTACACGGTGACGTAGAACTAGATCTACGTAGTCGTTAGTTTGTTGGGTGTCGTTAGTTCCAGCACTCAGCAGGTGCCAGGTGAGGCCATGAGGATCAGGAGCTGGAGGTCCGAACAGATGAGTCATTCACCACCTTGAGATCTAGGATAGAATTATTAATTTTTAGTTACGCGATCACGCCATCATCAGGCAAAGCATTACAGATTCTTGAATGCTTTGCCTGGATCCCGTGGAGTGGCCAAACGCCGCGGTATAGCACATACTGCATAGTGGAGCGCAAGAACTGGTTCATCCTGCAGCACTGGCCGTACATCATGGGTCACCAGACTCACCACCAGGGAGTCATACCCAAACCGTTTGGGCACGACTCTCTGTTCAGCACTCAATACAAAACTAGCATTGATTCCACTGCATCCATGCACAAAAAAAGCATATTCGATGACCTCACTCGCACAACCGGTCCTCTTTCAAAATAAACTCTCATTTGGTCCCTCTACTCTCCCAAAGAAAGCCTCTTTGCTGCACACATCACTTGAAATGTTAACCAATAGTTTTCAGGCCTAATGTGTAAATGGCTGCAATGGAGTCTGCAAGTACATGTAGATCTCCATGCACTTAGTTAGATAAGGCTATTGTTTCGAAATAGATCCAGCCGGATTTCAGATGACTTGAATCTGAACCAGGCCTCAGGGAGTAGTAAAATACCGGTATTTTACTACTAGAGAACGGTTTTATTCACAACGCCATTTGGGCCAATCATGTGAAACCATGAAGTAAGAGTCAAAGCAAAAAGACAACCCAAATTCAAAAATAAATAGAACACTCAATTGAAAATAATGATTGTAAGATTGAACACAAAAGCTTCCGGTGTTTTACTACTCCCTGGTCTGAAACGCTGCACTACTGCATGTAAGCCTTGTTTGGTTTTCGACATAGTGCATCATCCGCCTAAGACCGCCTTGTAACATGCTGTCAGCCGATCAACATTTAAATACCGTAAAAGTCCGTAAATAAGTACCTGCCCGAAAGAAATACCCCCTTCATTCTTTTGGCTCTGTCTGTTGAAGTCAAGTCAAGCCCGATAAACATACTGCCCGAAATAAGTACCGGTACGGTGCGCACATGCAACACGTAGCATGTACATCGACATGAAAATGACTTCTCCACTACACACAAGTCAGGTCCGAAAGTAAGTTCGCGCCCGAAAGTCAGTACCCGCCCGAAAGTTAGTATGGGTGTGGTCACTAAATTCGAAAGTAAATACGTACTTATTTACGGACTTTTACGGTACTGTACTAGTCTGCAGTGTGCCAGTACGAGAAAAACGGGCAAAATGTCACCCTTGGGTGTGCACCACAATTTTGATTGTGTCTATCCATGAAAAGGGTAGTGACGTGGCAATTAATTTTGACAAAACACCCCCAAGTGCTAACTGCATCTGCACGCGAACCTTGAGCAACAATATCTCGAAACCGAACAAGCAGCACGCTTCGTTCTTCCTTCAAAAACCCAGAACTACACAGTGGAGTCATAACCATAACCACAAATTCATTTTTCGTTCAAGGAATAACAAAAATTCTGACTGCACAGTGGAAACAGCGAACGCATGACGTAAGAAAAGATCAAAACACAGTACGCAGCCAGACGCTGTTGATCATGATGCTTGCACAACTAGCCTCTCAAGTCGTGCTCTGAGTTCAATGCGAACAAATTTTAATAATAAGCATACTGTACCAGCAAGTAGCAAGAACACAAACGGGTAATAGTGACAATACTCTTTATTCACCTCGGTCAACAAGGTGCAAAAAAAATAGAAAATGAAAATCTTCATGCAAAATTACCATCAATTTTTCCTAACGTGTATAATGTAAAATGATTATTCAAACACTAGTTCGCAGGATGAGAGGTGGAGAAGAACAGCGATTGATACAGCAAGGACATGCTTACAAGTTGTGACGCTCGGAGCTTGTCGAGTTTACGCCGCGAGGTTTTCAACAATAGCGTATGCCTGTTTCAGTTCTAAAGAAAAAACAACAAACACGCAGGAGAAAAGCATACAGACAATGGACTGGAAAATCGAGCACACGCTCACTCGCACAAATGCACACGACAGGTGGCAACAGTGTGAGTCAGTACAGCAGGTGGTTGTCAGCAGCTGCACACGCTCACTGGAAACACACAACTCCACTGGTCAGCAAGGAGTAGTGGAAGAATGTGACTGTGGTATATCCGTCAGATTCGCCTGGAATAGGTCTTGGATGAGCACTATGGAGTACGTCTCCATCGTTAAGCTATCCCACTTTGTTAGTCAACGACACCACTAGAGAGGCAACCGCCACGCCCCCCTACCTACCTACCGCCTCCGCCACGGTCACGCTCAATACCACCACCGCCAACGCCACAGCCACGGCCACCACAACACCACACTTACTACCACCACCACAACACACGCACATACACTCACACCCCTCTCCCATCATACGTCATCCATGCTACTAACGCAACTCACCAGATAAGAAAACCCGGAATTTGTCGCTGGACATTGAGAACGCAACGTTCTCCTCGCTGTTCGACTCCGCCGCCTTTACCTTCATCTGCAACTGCACACTGGGCTCCTGCACTTCGCTGATTTGACTACTCGAGAGGATGTAGTCGACACGCCAGTCCAACTGCTTCAAAGAGCCCACTGCAACACAAGGTACACAGAATGGAACACATGGTAAACCGTATTTTCCGGAGTGCAGGCCACACTGGAGTATAAGTCGCACCAGATTTTTTGTCACAAAATATAGACATCTACTTCAGAGTACCCGATTTATCACCGTTTATTTGACCATACAAGTATAAGCCGCACTGACTTTTTTTGGTGGATTACTGGTGTGTAAAGCGTGGCTTATACTACGGAGCATACAGTACTTGTCATAAAGATTGGCTGGCCAAAGTGAACAAAAGACCTCCGCAAAACATGATATTGACGACTGGAAACCAACCAGTGTTCAGGCTCATTACTACACGGGAAGAGTCACTGATGATTGCTAGCAACGCATGTTCGCACATGGTACTGTTTATTTCCGCGCGCACACACACACACACACACACACACACTCACACACACACACACACACACACACACACACACACACACAATCGCGCAAGCATACCCCGTCACTCTTCCCCCAAGTGGTTAGGGTTGGTTGCGTTACTCTGACGATAAGCGTTCACTTCCTAGCACTATCACGCACGCCGCTTTCTACCCCACATGCATAATAATGCATGTGACGGCATTATTTGATGCACTTTGACAACTTGTGGTGCTCGGTGACTACACATAACAAGGGTTCTTCACATTTTACAAAAAGTAACAATAATACCACAGACACAAAGAAACCGTGCAAATCAAGTTCACGGGACAACTCACATCTTAAACTGATGGCGGCGAAGTGATCTTGTAGCTTGGTCAAGTTGTCACCGTACGCCCGGCACAGAGCCGACGAATGCTCTGGAGACATAGTGGCAAAGCAACACAAACGCGAACACACGCGTGCGCACGCACGGCGCAATACACATCAACAACATGTCCCCACCCTAGCCCTGCCAGGCGGATAATGCTACAGAGCCGGTACTTCGAAGTAGAACAAACAGTTCATAAACTAATACCAGTACAGTCCTCTGCCGAGATACTGAACAACTCAACCTGGTCTGCAAAAATGACACTTCGTTTAAAAACGATCATGGCAACCATGGAAACAGAAACATTTTTTAAATGTTTCACTTGACTCAACAGGACCTTGTATGACTGGAACACGTTGTGAGTGAAGGAGATGGGTGCAACCCCAGTGTATTTACTGTACACCCCCCCCCCCCCCCCCCCACACACACACACATGCACACACACACACACACACACACACACATACACACACACACACACACACACATACACACATACACACACACACACACACACATGCCCTTGGAACTGCTATATTGACCTGAGGTGGCAACGACGTGTCTGAGACTCAACCTCACAGAAAAACAAGGACAAAATGCGGGAATTCCACAACGATGCAAAGGTGTTGCAGAAACATTTGTCTGAAATTGTTCAGCACTCCATGGTGCAAGCAACCCTTACCTTTTGGAAGACCCAGCTGTTGCAGCTCGCTGCTGAGGACTTCACTGGCCACGGCATACTTGCCAGCATTGGAGATGATGAAATGCAGAGCGGCGATCGATGCCTTCACATCCGATGGCTCTGCAGATATGTTTCAAATTCGACAAGTAGCAAGGTTAGCATGGTAGAATCGGCACAACACGTTCATCTTGTGTAGCCACTAAATATGCACAAGATAGTGTGAGTCTTAGTTGGAAACTTGACTCCAGTCGTGACGTCTCGCCTGGAGACTCTATCAATCCCTCTGCGCGCTGTGTGCACCCGGCTCTCAATACGTCACAACGACATAATGTGCGCTGGAGATCATCCTGAACTCAAGTCCAGCTCCAACTATACACAGCGCCATACCATACCCACACACAGGATGAGCAGAGAGTGAGCACCGCACCTCAGCACCACGGTCACCCGGGCAAAGAAAGAGGGAAACGGTGCGGGAAAATTGAAATTGCAAAATCGACCGGGCCACCAATAAATCCGTGACGGATGTGCGTCACTTCCTTATGGTCTCGTGGTTCGAGAATACATCTGATGAGCCAGTTGTAGAGAAGGCAGCAAAGAACAGCAGCACCTATGCACTCTTTTAAAGCCCCAAATTCACAACCAACACAGTCATTGATCAAAGGAGACTGAGGAAAACACAAACATTTTCCTCTCCAAAAAGATCATTCAAGCGTACCGTATTTAGCGTCACCAGTAAGCTTGAATACCTTCTCATACTGCAGGCAAAGAACGGCAGGAAAAGACAACAAGAATATTGCAAAGGAACGTGCACACAACGCACTGGAGCCAGCATTGACTTCTAAAAACAAGGATGGGACTACGTCACGGGAGAAACCTTACATCGATCGCTTTGCCCAGTAGATCTTGAATGACTTGAATGCAGAGCAGCTTCATCTTGATGGATGTCTGTCAGCAAGCCACACATAAATCGCAAATACGCAAGCACAGTTGAAAACAGGAGACTCGCAAACCAGCAACGAGATGCATCCAACTACAGCATACTCAAAGGAGGTACTTAAAGTACATTGTGATGTCCCAGGTATACACCAGCCTCAAGCGTGTGTGTGTGTGTGTGTGTGTGTGTGTGTGTATGTGTGTGCGTGTGTGTGTGTGTCCATGTTGGCCGGATGAACGACGACCGTATGCAGAAGCGAGTTTTGTTTGGGGAGCTCCCTGCAACACGCCCTCGCCATGGTCCACGCAAGCGGTGGCGTGACGTCATCGTGGATGATCTCCGCTCCAACAGCCCCCCCCCCCCCCCCCCCCCCCCCCCCCTGTGCCTTCTGACTGCTGGTTTGATGCTGCCCAGGATCGCTCTGCCTGGAGGCAGATTGCTCATCGTCGTCCTCCCGCGCGTGCTCCTCCTGATCCTGACTCTGGCTTCCGCTGCGCCTGTGGAAAGGTCTGCCGTCGTCCCGGGGATCTCAAGCGCCACGCTCCGTACTGCAAAGCTAGCAGATAGTCCCTTCGCTATCATTGCCATCGGCAATGGGCACGTTCAAGGTTCAAGGTGTCCATGTGTGTGTGTGTGTGTGTGTGTGTGTGTGGGAAAGATGCAGTGTTCTACAACTCGGACTTCACCATCGGCATCAAGCGTGTAGTCTATGGCGTCACTGTTCTGGCTGTCCTCCTGTATGGTTCTGAGACTTGGACAACACGGCAAAGGGACCTGCAGCGGCTTGACGTGTTTCACCATCAGTGCTTGAGGATGATCTTGCACATCGGTCGTGCACGCCAGATTGATGAGCACATCTCCAATTTGCAGGTGCGGAAATGGTGGGGCGACTTGGAGCAGCCGGCTGACAAGATTCGCAGGCGGCGGCTGCAGTGGCTGGGCCATATGGCACGTATGCCGAGGGGCGACCGCATCCCTCGTCAGCTGTTGTTTGGCTCCTTGCCATCGAAGCGCCCGCCCCATGGTCCGAGGAAGCGATGGAAGGACGTGGTGCGGACCGACCTGGCGGCAATTGGCATTGAGCCCAATTCCTGGCTCGACGTGGCAAGTAATCGCCGTGAGTGGAAGTCCCAGTGCCTTGATGGGGTGGATCGTATTGTACTTGCCCGTCAAGAGCCTGTCGACAAGCCTCTGCTTTGCGGTGTGTGCAACCGCAGTTTCCGCCGCCGTCAGGATATCGCACGGCATCGTTGTACATCGCGGCGTTCAATAGCAATTATAACCCGTGGGAATGCGCCGTCACGTCAGTCGTCGGGTCCTGGTGCCGCTTCCCGGAGACAGCGCTAATCCAAGAGCTGCCCCGTATGGGGCCACTTAGCCAGTCATGGCAGTGGAGAAGAAGGAAGAAGGAAGGTGTGTGGGAAAAAATGGAAAAAATTGATATGAAAAATAGGGATTCACTGGCCAGAAAAAGTCACTTCAAACAGCTGTGTGGTGGATACCAGGCTAAAAATAGTGGCGGTCAATTCATCAGCCTTGCAAGCTGTTGAATGGTGTAATCCCAGCACAAGTTGCTATGTCTAACATAGCTGTTCGCTATCATCGCTTCGCGATGGGCATGTCTGAGGTGTGTGCATGTGCGTGCGTGTGGCGATTTGAAGCGTCACCTCAAGTACTGCCCGACTCAGTAGCCTATCATCTCCTCTGGATACGGGGCGTCAAAGGTGTGTGTGTGTGTGTGTGTGTGTGTGTGCGTGCGTGTTTGCGTGTGTGTATCTTATGTCTGTGTGTGCTCCACCCAGGCCACGTCAAGTTATTAATTACACGCACCAGGTATTATTCTAGTTCTCCAACGATAAACCGATAACACAATCACTGCTAGATTTGAACACATGGCTCATATATGCGCTGGTACATCTCTTTCAACAACACGAACCAAGAGCCTAGCAGGGGTTGGAAATCAAATAAATCGATACTGGACGTGATTCCATCCACTTGGCAGCACTTACAATTCGGGAAAGGATGCTGATTTCCGCAAGTACCCAGTCCGGGCAGTCCAAATCTCCGCAGAATCGGAACCTCTGCGAAGAGAAAGACGAATTTACGTAGCATGGTGAAGTAAGTGTGCCAAAGGGTTCCCAGATGAACTCGAAATAGAACTTTGAAAAAATGCTACATTCAAAAATTGAGCAAATCGTACCATTTTGGACGGCCTGAAGCTACCTCACGATCTCGCTAGAGTAGACACCTTCTCTCTCGCACAAGAGGGAAATAGATACCCAGTGAAACTAGTCTGGTGATCTTCACTCCGACAAGCAGTGAGCAAAATCAAACATACATTCAAGCAAAATGCTATTTTCTGCTGCTGTCTTTCTGCTTTCTGTCTCTCGATCAAAAAACGCAAACTGGACTTTCAAACTGGGAAAGTACCTTGGACGCCTACCACGTGACTGCATGAATGATCGCCGGTCACTATGGCAGCACTCGTGCACTGTGGATTTGGCGTGTTGTACTTGTGTGGAGCATGTGTGGTCATGCATGCAGGTTTTTCTGTGTCAGTGTGCTTCTTGCTTCCACCAAGACTGGGCAAGAGTACATATTAAACCCCTATAATTATGTACTCTTGCTTCCACCAAGAGTACATAACCCCCAAGGGGGCCAAGGGGGGGTTATGTACTCTTGCTTCCACCAAGAGTACATAACCACTGGTTACGTACTCTTGCTTCCACGCACGCATCTCAGACTCAGGTACATGTACCGGGTTTTTTGTACGTATGTGTCCGTGTGTGTGCATGGTGCGCGCACAGCGTCTATGCGCATTTGCACAGACCGACTCAGTTGTTCAGTCTGCAGTCATGATATTCACATACAGGTACTGTACAATGCACATCAATTCATGCACAGTCGGCTAGTCTGCCACGTACGTCTTCACAGGTCTACAGCGATGTGTTCCAGGCTGTGAAGCTCAATGCAGTGATTGAGTAACACCATGTGGGGATTGAGTAAAACCAAGAGTACATACCCCCCCCCCAAATTTACTCTTGCCAAATACCAAGAGTACATCGGCGTACACTTTCGCTGACAAATACCGACGGTCACGGATTGATAAGTAGTACAGGTGTATTGTGATCAGATCAAGAGAGGCAAAGAGAGCCATAAAATACTAGCGGTCCAGGAGAGACTGCCAGCTGCAGCGGATAGAGAATGAAATTCATGAACTCCTAATAAAAGCCAACATGTGCATGCTGGCAACTACATTGCTCTATAATCATTCTAGTTGAAATAAATAATTGGTGAGTCCGAGTGCGAAAGCTAGGGCCGGGAACACCTTCATTTTTGATTCTTCAAATGTCAACAGGAGCTTGCGAGTGTCAAGGCGAGAGCAGCACCACGCGAGTACCACCGTTGCTGATAATGCGGCAATGCAACGAATATAAAAAGAGCCTGGTGAGCGTCAACCGTGACAAGACTCGAGAGCAGTGCTACTCGCTCGTACTGTCCCTAGGGTATTGCCGTTACGGCGACTGATAACACCAAACTGACGCCGAGAGCATGGTCTGAGTGTTAACACTGTGACAAGAGCAGTGCAATTGCCCTACTAGCCCATCGTATTGGCCATACGGCAAAGAACATCAAAGATGCTAACAGTACAATGGGTGCCAACACTACAAAGCAGAGCAACTAACGTTACTAGTGCCAGGATGCCCACTGGCCTGCGGAACAACCTCGACGACACAGTGGGCGTAGAGCGAGTCCAAGCTAGAGCACAACTACCAGCAAGTACGGTACGGCAATGTACAGCAACCAGTGCGGAACCGTGATGTACTGCCGTCCATCGCAGTGTCGTGATGTGCTACTGACTATTACGGTACGGTGATGTGTAACCACACAACGGTGACTAAGCCGGTGCAACAACACGGCGAGACTATACACTGCATTTCCGCAGACACCAGTGCCGCACTAAACTAAAGACAACTGAACGCACGCTGTGATCGCGTGCACGAGCACAGTACGCAGCACACCTACATGTACAATTGCGCTACACCGTACTCTGTAGCAGTACCCGCCTGCTTTCTCAGCATGAATCGGCATGCTCCATGTACGCCGGCTAGTGGGGCTAGGAAAAGGAGTCGTAATAACACGACTCTCTAGGCTAGAAAAGGAGTCGTGATATCACGACTCTCCAGGCTACGATATAGGCTGGGGTTTAAAAATAAAAAAATGAGTCAACGGTGAGCAAGGCATCAGTGGTCACCTTGGGAGTCCGCTGGCATATCGAGAATAGCACGGAAGTACTGTATTGAGAGGCGATCGAGCCATGAGACGGTGTTAGGGATCACGACACCGCCCTCGTAGAACGCCAAGTGCGAGCCGTGACGGGTCTTGACAAACACGCTGTTCTCGTTCTTGCCTACAAGACACAGCAACACCGCATGATCAGAGCATGCATGCGCGTACATATACATACGCGCACACGCACACACACACACACACACACACACACACACACACAAACATACACACATATTACAAAAGAAGGCGAGTATACTGTGCAAAGCTATCGGAGTAACCAATGTACTGCACGGTCACACTCAGGCCTCGGAAGCACATGCGCCATGCAAAAGACCGAGTTCTATTATACCCACTTGGCTCAGTGAGCCAGTCCAGTACGCGGGGTAGAGGATGGGCACAAACACAAACATTTAATAACAAGTGCACACCTATGGACTAAAAGAAAGGACAAAATGTTACGAGTGATGACTAACTGTCCACCAACGTAACCAGATCATATACAGTCAGCAAGCACGACAAAAAGGCACAAAACAGACAAGGAGTACGTACGGAGACATTCGACGACCTGACACCTAGCTCCAACACGTCTACGAGGCGCAAACCAACAACCTTCCAACTTAATCCATGATTACGTTGGCTCAACGTCCGAGTTCAAATTTGCACAACTATGCTTCGTAGTTCATGAGGGATTGGATCACAAATTACTAGACTAGCCAGGAAACCCTGCTGGAACAGACATCACTGGGAAGAAAACTACATGTGCAGTGCATAATTATGTTATTTGGTCATGTCATCAGAAGTTCATATCTTCCTAGGGCGACCCAGATGCTGATGGCAAGCTGCCACGGCACGTGAAGCAGAATATAAGAAATGGCTCACAAACCATTTTTCATTGCGTGACCGGATGCATATACTGTAGTGTCGCGTATAAAAGCATGGCCCATATAAAAGCATGACCCATATAGAAGCATGACTCGAATAGGAGCTGATTTTTGAAGCGCGCCGTGCACACAGAAGCACGATTTGAATAGAAGCATACGTGCAAGTGCAAGTACATGTGCAACGGTATGCACTGTACAGTGTAGATTAAAGATGTTGACGTAGAATAGAAGCAAAGTTCGAACCCCCGGCTCATACGGCCGTAAGCGCCTGCTTTTATACGCGACATTACGGTACGCACTCAAGATGCAAGGCTGACTGTACGCAATGTAGAGTAGGTGCCTTACATCGTGAAAACTGACAAGCGTGTTGCATTGGTGTGGTGCGAGCACACCGCATCGTTCCCGAGATCAGATTTCAGCTGCCGCCACTGTACATAGAACCCAATGTGCATTGTTTTGAACGATTTTTTTTCTCAATTTACAGTACACACACTGTGACACGTACACACACTGTGACACGTACACACACGGTGACACGTACACACACTGTGACACGTACACACACTGTGAAACGCAACTGTAGCTTACGAGAGTGCTGCAAAGGAAACTCAAGGGCCTCCGCAGGGACCAGCGGGTCGTCAGCAGCGTTCACGAACAAGATCGGGACATTGGTCACCTGCAAGGCATGAGCCAGACACACACACACACACACACACACACACACACACACACATACACATACAAGACCATGTAAACAAATTCGTTAATATGTTAGTGACAAAAATGACAAAAAGGGTATTCTAATCTATCCGCTAATACATGTATTCAGCAGATTAGAACGAATTAGGAATGAATGCATGCTAACAATGATCCATCACCAACAGGACACATTTGAAGTACATGTACAAATTCACATTTTCACACACATAAACATGTATGCACACTCGTGCACACATGTGCACACATACACACACACACACACACACACACACACACACACACACACACGCACACACACGTGCACACACACACACACACACACACACACACACACAGAGGTTTTGCTGCATACCTTGTGCATGATTGTACCGCAGCTTTCAGACGAGTAATACTCATCAATGCTGTCAAAATGCCACATACGTCTGCACACAAACACACAAATGCAAGTAAGAGCAACAAGTTCGAATACTACATGACATTGTATTGAAAGGAAACAATCAAAAGTTGGACCCAATACACTCAACAGTTCTCACTTTAAGCCAATGACTTCAGCAATGTTTTTGTTTGTATTTTTTTGGGAGAGAAAAGCCTCTTGTACGTATACGGGCAAAACTCAAAAGCAGTGTTGCACAATCACGTACACATGGATGTCAACACTTCAGCAATGTTTGCGCCAAAGACAGTTACCTAGTATATGCGCCAGTGTTGACATATACCCCCCCCCCCCCCCTCACACACACACACACACACACACACACACACACACACTTGACGTTTACACGCAATCATACAAACCCGTGCACCGGGCAAGCACCCTATTTTCCAGAGTGTACGCGGCACTTGAGTTTAAGCCGCACCCAGTTTTGTTTTTCTGTCAAGAAATGGCGGGAATACAGACACTTGCCCTATATTTCACGGTTCATTTAACCATCGTAGTGTAAGCTGCACTGACTTTTCGGAAGTGCGGCGTATACTACGATGTGCAATACTGAGGCTAATACAATACTACGGCTTATACGACAATCAAGAGTACTTGTACATAACCCCCCAGAGTGTGCAACGCCGATCCAGCTCTGCATAGGGTTTTGGTCGAGCGGAATCGGATCTTCTGATGCCATGCGTACACTCCACACTACCGCAAGCCCGGTCTCGAGGCAGGGCAACGTTGTTTTTTGATCCGAGTGTACCCGCGACTCCCCGGGCTCCCCTCAGATGTGTACGGTATTATGACGCAAAGATCCGACTACGCTCGACCAAGACCCTATGCAGAGCTGGATCAGGTGTTGCACACTCTGGGGGGTTATGTACTCTTGCTACGATGTGACTACGGCTACAGCTACTACGGCTTATGCGGCTTTTACGCCGAAAACTCTGAAAACTACGATATGCTGTGCAGCACTCACCGGCTGAAGTACTCGTCGAAGGTGACCATGCCGTGGGCGCTGAGCGCTCGCGTCTCGTCAGGCGGCGGGACCGGGCAGCTCGAGCCGCCGGCGCAGGACACCGCGTTCTTGGAGCACACGCGACCGCCGACAGCTGGAGTGGTGGCGGCGGTGGTGCGGACGAGGGTGTTCTTTGCCCCGGAGATGCGTGCTCTCTCGCCGAACAGCTTGCCGCGGTGCTGGCTGACGACCGTACGCATGAACATGACCAGTACACTGCTGTACAGCCGAGGTACTACGCCACTATCCAGGTAGCACGACAACCTACAACAAGACGAGGCAGAACAGAATGCATGTACTAAGTCAGCTGTCATGATTCCTGCATTCATCCGTTTCCAGTTTTATTTGTTGAAGTAAATAGTTGAGATTTCGTGTGTTTTTAGGACTGTCTTTAATATTACATGTATATTCCTTTTGCCTATTCTGCAGTCATCGAACATGAGTTATGTGCCTATCGCCTGCTGTCTTACATTTATTTTTTACTTTTATTTATTTTTGTTTTCCTCCCTGCCCGCTCTGCCTGTCTTCTGGCACATGCGAATACGTGGACTTACTGTTGACGTAAACGCGGACGTGCGCATAATAATAATATTCTGCAGTTGCACGCATGTGTTCACCTCATTGGCCTCGCTTGTTCCTCATTTCTTTTGTTCATTTGGCTTACCGTAAAGTCTTGTATAAAAGCCGCGGCTTCTATGACTTTCTTGGTGAAATTTTGCAGGCTTCTATAAGAGACAGGCTTCTATACAAGACAGGTATTTCTATGTATGTCAACACTAAAACCAGGCTAATGTGTGATTTGATGGGCCCAAAATTGCGGCTTGTATTCGAGGGCGGCTTCTATTCAGGTGCGGCTTTTATGCAAGACTTTACGGTGTGCGAAGACTAGCTAAGCTTTCTTGGTGATGTCAACGCCACCAAGCTTATAATAACAATAGTAGATGAATGGACTCGGAGGGAGAGCCAAGGATACATTTATAGAAAAGAAAAAGGACCTTGGGACCTTGATCCTTTTCTTTTCTACTTCCTCCGCCCAAGCACAATTTTCGCTTATCTTTGCACTTTTTACTGATACATTCCAGGTTCTCAGAACGGCTTATAACGACTTAGAATGAGTTGAGGAGTCATTGAAGATCAAGAGAAACTATCAAAGTCGAAAAATGTGGAAGTCATCCTTTGTCATCAGCCGACGCAGCACTTGTTGTCGGGTAGTACTTCGCACTTTCCAGAAGCGCAAATATTTCGTATCAACACTTTTCCAAGCGCTTCACCTCCTTCATGAGTACGATCGGTCGTGTTTCTTACCAGCCGAAGCTGACGAGCTCAGCGTCACTTTGCAGGATCGTTCACTTTGACATCAGGTGAATGAGCTGGGTGAGTGACAACCCTATCATCGAAGCCTTTCTTTCCCCCCTGTTTTGCCCAGTACCGGTTCTGGTTCAGTTTTGCAGTATGTGGGCGAGCGTCGCTGAGTGGCTTGCTCAGCTTCAAGCTCACGTGCATTTTTACCGTACACACATCTTGTGCCGGATGCAATCAAACACACTGGCTTTTCGCAACGTGACACCTCTGCTCTGTACTCCAGTGGTACTCTAGCAGCACCCACCTTGACCAGTGACTGACCTCGTGTTTTTTTTTTACCAGTTCACTCGCCTTCAACGCGCTCTACTCCAGGTGTTTCTTTACTCCTTGGCGACTTCGCCGACTTGTTTGGAACTGGTACGCCTGAACCAGCAGATTTGTATGATGGTGAAGTGCACAAGATGTAAAAATTGCTGTCAGACACCTGACATTGGGCTGAAGGAGATAAGCGAAAATTTTGCCCGGGCGGAGGAAGTATGAACATGTACAAGAGGTCAGGGTTCTAGCCTAGCCCGTTCTAATTTTTTCGATGCACGCTATCATCCGTTGCACAATAGTATGAACTGCCTGACTTACGTCTTGGCGCTGTACGATTGGCAACACGACATGGCGCCCTTGAACCAGGTCTGCCGTTCAGGCCTTTCCGCCAAGTACTTGACGAGAATGTTAGCGCCCATGGAGAAGCCGATCGCGACCAACGGGTGACCCGGGAATCGCTCGCGGGTCCAGTCGACGACCGCACTGTACTCCGATGTGCAACCTACAGCACAACACGATGGAGGAGAGGCACAACGTCAATGTACCAGGCCCGAACGTACCTTGCCAGAGTGCTCAAGCTGACCCTCTCCCCCGGGTTCCGTTTATCTGTACAATGTACATGATAAGACCTATCACTGTACAGTATTAAAAGCAGCAATTCATCCAGCACAACGACTCACCATAAGAAAAGATCCTGGCTGATGATAGCTCCTCGTCTTTAATCGTGCCAACGTGATTCAGCGATACCACGCGGCTGTGGGGCAGCTGCTTCAGCATTTCATCAATATACGTCTGTATGTAGGACGAATACGAGTTGCCGGCGATTCCCGGGCACAGCACCGTCACCGGTTGCTTGGCAACTGGCACGCCGACATAGGCGCCCCTGGCCTTGCTCTCGAACAGGCCGAACGTGAACCTGGTGCCGTCGTCCGTGACGCCCGCATGCAGAGAGTGCGCTGGCCGAGGGGTGGACGGGCGGCCCAGCACGCCAAAGCTCCAGATCTGTATGTGCCGGTTCTTACCCCACAGGCTCGTCGGACGGTACCTGGGTGCAACAATTTAAACGCACAGGACAACAACACAAGCATATTACACAATGATGATTTGGTTGATAGTATGTTACAAGGCGGAGGACGTACTGTGCTAATTGACAGCGCCTTGTAACATGTTGTCAGCCAAATCACCATTGGTATCTATCAAACAAGGCTAATAATTATAACACCATACACCATGTACACCTTGTAGGTCATAATTTTCCCACCCATGTAAAGCAGTGAGGAACTCTGGTCATCGCACCGAGTCTGTACTAATATAATAATATAGTTAAAGTTCGCATGTCACTCATGGGCTTAACGCATCTGAGTCTGTACTAGGGCCACTGCAATGATTGGCATTGTGCCGAGCCCCGACCGGCTGATCCAGGCCAGTCAACACGGTACATGTACAAAGCTGAATTTCACCAAGACGACAGTGGCAAGATGGTGACACTCTGGCCACGTACATGTAAATGCCAATGAAGTCTTTCTCTGCAGCTAGAGCAAAATCATCATAGGCTTAGCGCTACCGGTACTTTTTTTAGTACATGTACTAGTTACATTTCAGCTGGTAGCTGTTTGCTTTTTTTCTGCAACACAGGTGTGTGACGTGTGTGTGTGTGTGGGGGGGGGGGGGCACATCCAGCGCCTCTGCAGATTTGCATGCTTCCCTTGCGACAGGCGTATACATGGTACATGGTGTGTGGGTGCACGTGCGTGTGTATGTGTGTGTGTGTACATCCAGTGCATTTGCAGATTTGCGTGCTTCTCTTGCGACATGCGTTTTCATGGTACATGGTACATGATGTGTGTGTGTAGGGGGGGGGGGGGGGGGGGGGTATGTGGGTGTGTGTGGGTGTGATGTGCATGTGGGCGGGTGGGTGTCTGTCCGTGACTGATAGCCCCGACTAGTTCGGCACTGCAAATGACTGTTATAAATTTACAATGCAAACACTTACCTCTCTGCCAGTATTGGACATTTGCTGACAATTTCTTGAGCAAAGCCAGAGGAACTATGGAACACCTCGGGCACCTCCGCCGGTTCCAAAAGCCGGAAAAGCCGTACGAGTACCAATGCCAGAAAGGCTAGCAGGACCAGGTACGGAGAGAGGAAACCATTGAGACTAGAGCCAAGCGAATATACCGATGACGCAGACGATGAGCTTAAATCTGAGAACATAGACGTTAGAGAGGAGTCCGGCGTCATTGCGAAGACCATTCCTTCAAGTCAACCACGCGAACTTGTGTGTGTGGGGGGGGGGGGGCAGCAGCAAAAAAAGGACTCAGAGCTAGAGGTCATCAGGTCATGGAGAGAACAAACGCCACTGCACGCGCTGCTAATGTTGCCAATTTACTCAAGTCAAAATACGACATGAATCAAAAATGAAATATCGGTTGACAGTTGTTGATTCCGCTGTCCTGGCAGTCACTCCATGGATCCAGGCCAGTCACACACTCCACGACCACAGTGTCCAGTGGTGTCCGTTCACTGTTCAGGCGTTCTGCCAGATCAGACTGCAGATCGATCAGTGACATCATGACCTGCATGTTGATGTCATGTATAATTGAATTTTGTTCTCATTTTTGTTTTGTTGTTTTTTGCGGACGACTAGCAGCTGCTACATATGTAGATCATTAATTTTTGAGTTTCGTATTGATTGGAACAGGAGTCCACTGTTCATTGACAGTTGTAGCTTGTCTGTTCGCCTTCGATCCCGAAAGCGTCTTGCTTTACCCCAGCCTAAACCAATCTGTTCAAGCCGATCAAATTAGTAGTAGCAAGAGTAAGAGTACATAGTGTACTCTTGGTAGTAGTCAGTGCGAGGTTAGAAGTACGACTGCTGTTGTATTTTGTATTTGTGAACGAAGCTATTTGCTCATACGCGGAGTACAATTATTTGCATTCGTCTCGAGTGGTGTATCTCCACGCGCTTTACCAGTTATCGAGGGATGACAGATCTGTAAAGTTGTGAAACAATGGCTGCAGATGTCACTGAGGACCTCCTGGTTAGTAGTTTCGGGCCAGCACCTTCCTGAGTATTCCTCAGTGGGTGACTGAATTCCAACATACAATTTTGTAGATTTTTTTTACAATAAATCCGGCCCTTGGTAATTTTTACTTTACCCACACTGGACAAACCTATACACGCTGGATTCTCAAGCTGGAAAACTTCAAAACAGCTGTTAGGAGTTATGCTCTCTTCTCTGTGAGCACCACTTTCTTTCACCGCGAAAGTGGGCTTAGCTGTTGATAGTGAGACGCTTCTTGTCGTATTGTTATTACCGTATTATCTCTAATATAAGCACAGTCTCCAATAATAGCACGTCTCCAATAATAGAACACCTTGGGGTGGCATTCAAAAAATAAAGTGCTCAGTCTCCATTATAAGCACACTGTGTAAATTCATTATCTGTACCGGCGAAAAAAACCCTGAAATGTGTGTGTCATACATGAATTTGGCATGGCAACATGCCTCTGAAATGAGGTTGAAATAAAAATGGAACAGTCTCCAATAAAGGAACGTCTCCATTAAAGGGGAAGTCCGGTGAAAATTTTAAATTTCAGGGTCGGTAGAGGTTTGGGCGCTGAGTCGAATGGTGTTGGTCCCACGTGTCTCCGACAAAGCGTTCTCGAGATACTTCCGTTTGAAAAACTGAGTTTCGGGGACTGTGCCATGACGTCATGCGGCCGCGCCACACCCTCTGCAATGTCATAGCGTGCAGCTAGGTCAAAAGGAGTGCGTGAAAGCAATAGTGTCAGTGCTATTTCAAATGATTTGGCGACTGATATTAGGTGGTGCAAGCGACTCCGAAGACGTAACTCCTTGTGAGAGTGAGGATGCAGCCATGGCTGACCTTCATGAGTTCGGATGCAGCCATGGCTGACCTTCATGAGTTCGGTCTGGGGCTGAGAACCTCGGTATTCAGCTGAAGAAATGGCCGCGCGGGCCGGTCAAGAGTGAGCGCTACTGAGTTTCCGACTGATGAAGAAGCAGCAGCTATTGCAGACGAGGCTGATGTAATTATCAGATCGCTGGAGAGCAGGGTCGCCAAAATGGAGAAGAGTGATGCGAGTGCTCTAAATGTTGTTCCATACCGATTAGATTCGCTTAGACTCCAGTAGCCTGCCACATGGTGATGTTTTGGTGCGAACTTCAGCAAGTAATTTACTTGGATTTCGGACTACTCAATTGGAGAACAGTGCAGGCTTTTTGAACCACGGGCACGACTCTTCGCTCGCAACGCTATGGAATCTGAAAGTTCTAGGTCCGGGAGCTGTTCGCTGTTTTGTCACTTGTCACGGTTCTGCACTCATCGCTGTAGCATAAAATAATGAGGCGGGAGCGGAAAACTAAAATTTTCTTTCTCAAAGCACAACCACCGGCACCGGCAAGGAGAAACGCACGTTCTCTGACTACATGACTGTACAATACGACTGATACGAGTGTAATACATGACAAGTCCGTGTGTTGACTAGTTTTCTGAGTCTTGTGTCAGTTGTGACTCGAGTCTTGTTGTAGATACTACCCCAGCACGGCAGTGCGGGAGTAGTTCCGTCTGTGATGAGTTTGTTGACTGCACTACTACTACAGCTAGATAACACACTGCACGCACTGCATGCACGCAGCGCAGAGCGCGTAGAGGCTGACGGAAAAAGTCCAACTCGGAAACGGCTAAAATACGGTATAACCTCGAGGTTTACCGAGCTGAAAATCACAGGGTACGTAGTGTTTGTAACACTGAATCGAATGGTCTTGGTCCGAAGAAGCTGCGACAAACGGTTCCCCAATCGAACGCGCTCCGAATATGGCCATTTTTGTACACAACTAGATGGTGTGGCTACCTGGCTGCACGCTGTGACGTCATCACCTGGATCTGGGTGATGCGCGCTCAAATTCGCACGTGTTTGATTGGGCGTATCTGACGAACCATAAGCCGCAGCCTCCTCGGACAAAGACCATTCGACTCAGCGACCCGAACTCTACGGACTGTGAAATTTAAATTTTTCACCGGACTTCCCCTTTAATAGCACGGGGCGGAGGTACATTGAAAAAATAAAGGACCGTGCTTATATAAGATAATAAGGAGGTTTCGCTCTACGTATGAAAATAACGTAGGAACTGCACGGAATTTTCATACGTAAAAATCAGATCTGCTGGGTTTCGCTCTACGTGATTTATCTACGACTGCTAAACACGCGTTGTTGCTTTGGAGACACGTTGGCTGCATGCACCCACCGCATGCACCATGAACCGAAACCGCGTTTTCCATCTTATTTTGCACGTGGTGTACGGTGTGTGTACCTTGTGTTTCGCGCGGCTTAAACGTTGCCATGGACAAATGCGGAAAATGCGAAAAATATTTCAAAAAGTCCTACGGAGGACCCAACGTAGGAAAGAGCTTTCCTACGGAAATCCATAGAGAGATTTACGTATGAAAGCTGCCCTCGCTCCCCGGCGCGTACGACATACGGATTTTCATACGTAATTACGCACAGCAAAACCTCCCTATTATCATTGCTATCAGGCACGTAGCCCGTATCATGTGCACCCCCCTAAACAATTCGACCTACTGTAAGACATGTATATATAACGAGGAAGCAAATCTAACGTTTTAACGGATGACATTTCTTCGTTATAATAAGATCCGTTGAGGCCGTACTGCTACATATATGCTGTGTGTGGATATGGCAGAATACTGCAAGATCGTTAACATATCTTCTCGTTAACCTATGAATTTTGGACAATCGTTAAGTTTGCGACTCGTTATAATAACATGTCTTACAGTATTAGAGTTCAGCTTGCATGTACACAATGTCATAATGACCGGGAAAGACATGCACCAGCCATCCTACACATATGCGGCCATGCACCCCCCCCCCCCCCCCCCCCCCCTAAAAGGGGGACTAGCTACGCCCGTGGGTATTGATGCAAATAGCTCGGAGTATTTACACGGTGTATAAAACCAGCATTTGCAGAATTTCAAGTTGGTGTCACGTTGGTGATGCAATGTGTGTCAGATGTGCTATCAGATGTATCCTGGACCCGTGGTGGACAGGTCCCCATGTGATTCTGCGCAACCAAATGCAATGAAAAACGTGTGATGCGTTCACACCCGGTACAAGCATCGTAAATCGCCCATGCAGGGAGCATTGCATCTTAAACAGTAATGTCAACTTGAAATTCTGCCGTGACTACACTTCGTGCGTGAGTTGCATGCTGTTGGGGGTTACCGCTAACACCGGTATGTACGCTTGCTGTGACCCATAGCTTTTTTAACTCAAAGTTTGACCCATTTATGGCCAAAAGCTAGAAGTCCATCCTTCTATGAATGAACTGTATGCATGCGCGTAATATGCTTTTGTTGTGTGTTTGTGCCGGGCCTGTTTAAACAGTTTTGCTTGTGTTGTGTCTCCATGTAGGCGTTAGTTGTGGAAGGATGCCGCATGCCGGTCCGCATGACTGGGTCCGATGAATGGCGTAAGTGTTGAGCTGTTAAAAAGCGCATGTCTTCCTCTCAACAAAGCATGGAAACAGTGCCGCTGGAAAGCGGCCACGATTCATGTTGTGCGTGCATCTCATGTTTGGCATTTAAGTGGTCTTTGTAAAAAAAATTAAATATTAAAAAAAAGCAGCTGCAGGCTGAGCTGGTACTAAACACCGTTAGGAGCCATTAGAGCATGTTTGATTGGTAGGATTGGGATGCAGATCTACCGGATCCACTGGATTCGCACCCTTTCGATTGGTCGAATTGAGTCTCTTGAAAGCACGTATTTTGTCCAAAAATGTGTGTAGATGACATCACTCTGGCATGTTGCACTCTGCTCCTTGTCAACCCACTCATGGGTATGTTCGTCTCATGCTAGTACTTTTACTTTACACGACATTGTACGTGCTCTTGCTGATCTTCCGCCACGTTTTTGTTGCAGCGCTGGCAGAAATCATCAGCATCAAGGATGGAAAGGATAGCTTCTACGTCCATTACATTGACTGTACGTGCTCACGGGATCACTGCTTGTGTTCTTTGTGCTTTCGGCAGTGCCTGGGGACAGTAATTTCGTTTGTTTGTTCATTTATTTTACTTCACCAAGTGAACAGGCATTTCTGCCTTCTCGCCAGGTCCGGAGACCTAGTTCCGGCAAAATGATGAAGAGCTTTATTGAGTTACTGCTTACCAGGAAAGCCCAGTAGTTTGGTTGTGGGATTGGTCCAGTGTACTTGGAGATACTCTCTTCAATACACTCCCTGATGAAGCCCTGAGGGCAAACATTTGGAGGATAAATTGTTATCGACGGAACACCATGCTGGTGATGGTGATTTTGATTACGAGGTGCTTTGAGATGTTGCCAATGTTATCCTGGAAAAGGTGTTGATTTTCTAAAAGCTGTGAGTGCGGTGTTGAGCTGTGCTCTAGGAAAAGTAAAAAGAGAAAGAACCAATAAGTTACTAGTTATGACTAACAGTCCACCCAGGTAATGCCGGTCTTTTCTCTTTTAGGAAAAGGTGTTCATTTTCCATCAGCTGTGCATGTAGTGTTTTGTTGTGTTCTAATTCCTTCCTGTGCCTTAGGGGTTGTCCATAATTATCGATCTTTTACACGAAGAGAAAAGGTTTCGTATATGGGTGGGTGGGTCAAGGGGAGTTTCGTTTTAAAAAATATTGATATGTGAGACATCAAGGCATTCTTGCTGTCATGTCAAGTCAATCTATTTTTCGTTCAGGGGGGGGGGGATCCTAACTAAACTTTTTCGTTTCGTGAAAATTGTCGATAATGCCGGATAGCCCCTGACCGCCAATTTGTTCGTGGTGCTTCTCTTTCTGTAATTTTCCAATGTCAGACAACAAACGTCTCGATGAGTGGGTGGCGCGAGATCGCCTGAACTTGTGTAAGATCCAGCCACCCGTCAAGAAAGATGCCAAGAAAGGCGCCCGACCACCATCACCCGATGCGTAAGTGCGTGCTCGTCGAAGTAGTATTTCTCATACCACTATATCCCTGTATGTATCAATCCTGCCAGCAGTGGGTTGCTTTGTTCCATGCAGAATTCACGTGTGGACTGTAAGAGATGTTGGAATGAAGTTTCCGGTTCTTCTTGTTGTCGTGTTCTGCAGAGCGTCACGGAAGAACCAGTCTGGGAGGAAACGAAAGACCCTGCATGGTGCGGCAGCTGAGTCCCAGCAGGCCAAAGCTTCCAGACAGGTACGGGCGCCAAAGCGGTGTAGTCAGGAATACTACATGTACCTGTATTTTCCGGCTGATCTGGTGAAGTAATGAATGTTTCCGGCTGGAGAAAGCCCAGCATTCGCTTAGGGCGCGTTCAGACTACCGAGAATCCCGATAAACCGTGAAGGACATTCACACTACCGATATCAAATTAACGTTACAGTGAAGTTTTGCAGCTCTCACCGCGGCACTGACAAGGGATTTTCCCTTTTTTCCCATCGCGCATGCAGCCTGAGCACTTTTTTACTGCCGGAAAATTTTACTGCCGCAGAAGCCGCGGCAGTAAAACTTTTCTTTGGCCTGTTGGATGCTCACCTCCCCCACGTGCTTCTACTCGTAGTGTGTTTCAAATGGAGCGTTTGTTGGGCGTCCATCTCTTGTTCTGCTTTAGGCCTTGCTGTCATCCTCAGTGCATGCTTTGTCAGACTCGCTAGCTAGTATGCCGGACGGTGCTGATGAGGCCATGAAGGATGTCCCAATGGAAACTGAAGAGCCAGCTGCGGAGGCCGCCGCGCCTCCCGCTCCCGTCCAGCAGCAGAACCTGCGCAAGGGCGGCTCGATGGTCCAGAGCCACGACGACACGGTGACGCGAATCAAGAACGTGCAGCTGGTGGAGCTGGGCGAGCACCGCATCCAGCCGTGGTACTTCTCGCCGTACCCGCAGGAGTGGATCAACCTGCCCTGCATCTTCCTGTGCGAGTTCTGCCTCAGGTTTTGCAAGTGCCGCACCAGCCTGGTCCGCCACAGGGTGAGTGCTGACTGTGCGTACGGTCCGGGCACGCATGTCTTCACGCCGGGGGTAGCGAGACTTGAAATTGTCTTTACACCAGTGTGCGCTGAAAACCTTGCTTGTGCTGCTTGCCTTCTTCAGTAGGGCTATTGGGGAAGCTCCAGAAATACATATCTTTAATGTGCTAGCGCTGTGTTAGTCACTGATAGGGTCATGTGAATGATGTCATTGCATATCAGATGACATCATGGCACATCGAGTGACATCATCATATTTCAAAACATGTTCTTTGGGGTTATATTTACGGCTCATGTTAACTTACAGTATCTCTCACCCACTTCCTAGGGTGTGGTGAGCCCAAGAGGGGGGATCTTTTCCGAGCCTACCTAGAATTTGGGCATTTAGGGGGATCGGCTGTTGGGCGGTTCTGTAGCCAACTGAATCGTCTTTCCAGTTTCTTTTGAATCTCTCGTCCCTCTCCCAGGAAGACGCGTGTGGCCAGTGTTTGCCAGCAGATCTAAGTACATGTTGTGTGTATGTGTGTACACACGCACGCACGGTCTGTCTGTCTGTGTTGCTTGCTTCCTATAGGAGAAATGTACGTTGTATTATCCGCCAGGGAACGAGATCTACCGGAAGGATGACATATCATTCTTTGAATGTGATGGGCGAAAGTGTCGGGTACGTGACTTTACGGTGTCTGTACATGACGATTGTGCAAGTCTGCACATGTGCAACATGATGTTTACTGTGTTGTGCTTTTTAATGTGCTAGCGCTGTGTTAGTCACTGATGGGGTCATTTGAATGATGTCATTGCATATCAGATGACATCATGGCACATCGAGTGACATCATCACGTACACTTTGTATGGCGTGGCCAACCGGTGTTCGTATGGAATTATATGCTAACACTGCTTACCAGGATTTTGCCCTTTCTTACCTGCAGTCTGTTTTGCGTTTTTCTTTTCAGCCATATGCGCAGAACCTGTGCCTGCTGGCGAAATTGTTTCTAGACCACAAGACGCTGTACTACGACACGGACCCGTTTCTGTTCTACGTCATGACGAAGTTTGATGAGCAGGGGTACCATCTTGTTGGCTACTTTTCGAAGGTATGTCGAGGGGCATTGCAATAGGCTGTTGATCAGCTCGGTCAGTAGACCACACTGTATACTGCTTGAAGTTTCAGCTCAAGGCTTTCATGACTAATGTATCTGGGTTGCACGGTTACCCATCTTAACTACTGGCCCTCCCCTGACAATTGAGAGCCCAAAGCATAAACTTAGCGGGTACCCGGGGCGACAAGTGGTACGGTCAACACCGTAGTGGCCGTAGCGTATCCGACACCCCTGCACGTTTGGGCTGCGTGACCAGTCCAGGCCCAATGGTTAACGCAGCCGAAATCTACATCACGGAGCCATAACTGTATTGTGTGCAAGCATGCAATGCAAGATGTGCAGATTGAGTCGATTGGATACGAAAACGTCTGCCACCGCCCTATTCCGAAATATAAAACGGCCGAAAAAAAGCTTCTGAAATTTACAGTGGGCACGTGTTTTCAGGATCCTGCATTCTGCGTTTCAGAGGAGTGTTCGCATTGAATTTTGGCTTCTCCTATTGTTTGTTTCCTATCATTGCTTCCCCAGGAGAAAGAGTCAAGCGAGGACTACAATGTGGCGTGTATTCTGACACTACCGCCGTACCAGCGGAAGGGCTACGGCAAGCTTCTCATCGAGTTCAGTGAGTCAACAGTGCCTTGAATGATGGTATCTCCTCGCATGAACTTTCCTGTGCGGGCATGCACCGGTGGTCGGTTTCTTCCTCTTCACATGATGTGCTGAAGAAACTGAGTGCGAATGTCAAGCTGGGGAGTGTGCACTTTTCCAGGTTTTTTTTAATTTCTTTTTTATGTCCTATATCTGTTGTTGTCTTTTAGGCTATGAGCTATCCAAATTTGAAGGCAAGACCGGTACACCGGAGAAACCTCTCTCTGATCTCGGTCTTTTGAGCTACCGCAGCTACTGGTCTGATGCGATCCTGGAGATTCTCACTGAGCAGCTGAAGCGCGGCAGTCCGAGTAATCCACCGCTTTTGTGCATCAAGTGAGTCGATGTGTTCTTTCGGCTTGGTCGTGTTTGGTAATGCTGGTGGTGGTGGTGGTGGTGATGTTGTTGTTGTTCATGGCGCTGCTAATTCTCCTTCTTGCGCTGCTGTTGATGGTGGCGGTATTTGCTGGTGCTATTGTTGCCATGCCTGTTGTAGTTGATGTGTTGGCTTTGGATTTGGCGAATGTTAACTTAGGAGCAGTACTGCTTAGGAGTGTGGATTCCTTTTCTCGCTTCGTATGTATTATATTTCGGCCTACTCTAATTTCAGAAATTTTCGGTGCTCAATATTTTCGGTGTGAGGGCAAAAGGCCAGGTTAGGTGAACAGAAATTTTCGGTACAGAGAAGCAGTTCCCCATTGGATTATGTGTGTTAGTGTTTGTTCGGTGTATTGAAATTTTATGTATGCAACAGATGCACCGAAAGTACCGAAAATAAAAGTGCACCGGAAATTTGTGAAATTACAGTATTTTGTTCCTGTGCTCCTCTCTCGTGTTTTGTTTCCAGCGAGGTATGCGAGATGACTAGTATTCGTAAGGATGATGTGATCTCCACGCTGCAGCACCTGAACCTCATCCACTACTACAAAGGCCAATACGTACTCTCGCTCAACAAGGACGTCATTGACACTCACACGCGCTCCATGTCCAAGCGGCGCGTGCGAATCGACTCCAAGTGCCTGCACTGGACTCCCAAGGATTGGTCAAAACGCGGCAAATGGTAACCTGTTCTTGCTGCTTATGTTTGTGAATGTAAACAGCTTCTAGGATTTTAAACTGATAGGAATTACGTTCGACACTTGTTTCAGTGTTGTCTGTTTTGCACGTTATGCTCCTGCTGCCCCAGTCTTTTAAATGTTGAATTTTGTAAATAGTTTCATTGTATCAAAGGGTTTTCAAACTGTACATACGATCACGTGTACATAGGGAAGAAATTGCACTATTTGCAGCAAGGACTTTTGACACTTTGTCTAGGGAAGTAATTGTCCGCATGTTTTTTTGTGGTGTCTGACTTCCTAATTCTGGCGACCGCATGGTATTTCACCAAACTGGTTCGAGTGTGTCCAGATCAGTCAATAGTTATCATGGCTCAATGTGGCCACCTGTGCCAGCATGTCACTCTCTTCTTTTAGTCTTGTTACCATGTCTTCTACTCGGTGTTGTTATTATCAGTATTACTCTTGTTCGCAGTAGAACTTAGATTCCTTATTCGTCTTTTTCTTTTCTTTTTTTTTCCATTATGGGTGAATAGTTTGTTGAGGCATATTTCCGATTCTATGAGTATATTGCTTGATTGCTTCTGTGCCCACATTCACTCTGGCCTGCGACCTGCTGTACCTTGTCACAAGGGTGGACTGTCATTTTTCTATGCATTACGTTAATACCAAGAGTACATAACCTGTGATAGTCATGTAAAGGCCTCTTTTACGGGCAAACAGAATACAATTGACAGTGGCATGGCGAATGATTAGAACACAACACCAAAAAGAGTACATAACCTGGTTATGTACTCTTGTTTTAAAATACTTATAGATAACATATTTTAACGTCAATTAAATTTAACAATCTCCGGATTTTTGTGGGTTAGCGAGGTGAAATTCTAACGAATTCTGTCTCAAAACCAGCGAATGACTATGCATGCACATGTCGTTTCGCACATAACGCCTTCTTTCAAATTCGTAACTCGTTAGAATTAAATGTTACTGGTCTTACAGTACAGTACTGAGTATAGTACAATCATGCGGTTGGACTGCATGGAGGTAGATCTACACTGTCACTCAGCTCGGGGCCAGGGAGTCATCAAATATAAAAATTAATGGCTCGCGCAGATCAGTTATCTCGATCAGTTATCTGAGCTCATTTTTTCTTCAGAAACATGCTATCTCTTCTGCATGTGTATCTCAACTATCACTGCACTGAGACTAGTGAGAGGGTTCAGGAAGATGATCTGTCTGCATGCACCAGATATCGCAGTTCCGTTACTGTATACGTTACTCAGCAGAAATCATTTTAAATTATTGATTTTTAGGTCTGGCCCTAGCGCCTGCTTCTGATTTCGCGAAAAAAATATTCCACATGCACAAGCGGCTTGAAGCCCTGCGCTTCCTCTATTAGCCCCTGAAGTTAGTTGCCTCCACCTTCTCTTTCACAAAAAAACACTGACCATTTCTCACTTGACCAGTTGCCATAAAATGATAAAGTATAAAGGCAGCTAGCCCCGATTTGACATCTCAGTCATCCGGCAGTGATGCGCGATCACCACGCATATGCACAGACTGCCAGTCATGAGTCAGCCGGCAAAATGAAGTGTTCCAGCCGAAAACGGTCCATTTTCAGGTACATTGCGCAAGCGTGAAAATAATGGCGACGTGGCCTCGCGCAGCTCGCTCCCGAAATCCGTGACGTGTCGCAAAATTTGGTTGTTCTTCTTTCACATCTTCACTTTTTATATTGACTTTGACAATGGCGAGTAGAATTGCAGCTGCTGTCTTGGCCTTGTGCCTTAGTTTTACTGTCCTCTGCGGCGGTGCTTTCGCCGAGGGAGATACGTTTGGTCGGCTCCTGGTTTCGAAAACCATTCTCAATGAGCATATCGTTGAGGGCAAGGACGTAACTGTACATTATGAATTGTACAATGTAGGAACTGGGTACGTTCGTGGTGAATTGCATCCCTCAAAGCCTTGTGACCGGTGGTGGAGCTCGACGTTTGTTTTCCTTGTTGGTTCATAGACCTTGCCTGGATGTTGTTCTTGAGGACGAGTCATTCCCGGCCGAGATTTTCAGCGTTGTGCGTGGACTCCCCCGTGCGCGATTTGACCGCATCTCAGCGTATCCTACACACATGTCTAATTCTAAAATTTAATAGTATGCATTATCTGTGACGAATACCATCACCTACAACAATCAGAAGGAGTTTATTTGCAGTGCTAACATGCACTTCAGCTGTAGATGGTGCAGGACATAGTGCGGAGAATTTGCCACAGAATTCTGCTACAAATTTGAATGTGCTCAGCCTTCTTTGTTCTTCACTTACATGTAGTTGAAGTATACACTTACGGTACGTGCACTCATGAGATCCCGTGGCTTAGGGAGTAGATGTGACAGTATCACCTCATGTAGGTTGTGATGTAAGGTTGATAAGCTTTATGGATATTGAAGGTTGCCATTCAAATTTGAATCTATGGTGGGTCTATGGTTGCTGTACATAGTTTCAGCTATTTCCGTAACTCGCAGTCGTATCCACAGATCATCCAATGTAAGTCACACCGTCGTGTTCAACGTCAACTACGTTGGCTACTTCAACTTCACTGCTGCTCAAATCTCCTATAAGACTGAGGAGACTGCCGAGGCAATGGTAAGTTCTGCAAACTTTCACTTCACATGAATTGGCCTGATGCCTTTCATTTTCAATGTTTTAGTTCTGGTCAATCACTACCAGGTAGGAGCAATTCATGTCAACCTGTTTTCATATTGTAAAGCAGTCCATCCCAGGGTACGGGGGGTAAAAAAATGTCCTGTTCGTGAAATTTAAAAACACGCGATGATAGCAATCTGGGTAGTGGCCGAATTTGGGCTGGTCCCTGAAGTAGCAAAGAGACCATAGCGCTTGCGTGTCCAACTCGACAAGGAAAGGTCTGTGCCAACATGTATGCAACCTTGACTGTACAGACAGTCTGTGTGCATGTACCGTGTAGTACCGTTGATCCCCCAAGCCGTGTCGCTTCCCAGCTGGTTTTTCGGCAGGGGGCGGGAATTAGATCAAGTCGTTCAAGTGCGGTACGATGTACAACAAAGCAGAAGATTAGACCTGGAATGCTGGATTGTGCACATTTTCATCCGGCACTCACACTTATTGTGCACAGCAGTACATGCGTCGCTTCAACATCGTATTTCGTTGTATACCCCAACGTCGCTTCACAGGCAGAAATTCGACAGGGGGCGGGAATTAGAGCGGGGGCGGATCAACAGTACTTTACGGTATGTTCTCCGTGTCACAGACTTGTCTAATGTCACGCACCGAAAGCGGGCAATCGTGCAGCAATGCTATCAGTGTATCACATCATGCCTCTGCAATCTGTCGTTTGCAATGAAATAGAAATCCACTTGGGGTTTTTTTTTTACCACCCGTCCCTTTCTGTGACTGTCCGGATTGTTCTATTTTCGAATCTTACGGCAACCCCTTATTTCCCTCACACCGTATCATCTTCACTCAGCCTCGATAAGAACCAGAATAACTTCAACCTCCATCTCTCTCTCTCTCTCTCTCTCTCTCTCTCTCTCTCTCTCTCTCTCTCTCTCTCTCTCTCCTTGCTCTCTTTCTCTCCATCCTCTCTGATGTTGGATAAGGGGTTATCCAGCATTATCGATAATTTTCACGAAACGAACAAAAAGTTAAGTTCGGACCCAACCCCACCCCCCTGAACGAAAATATATTGACTGGACAGCAAGAATGCCTTCATGTCTCACATATCAATATTTTTTCTAAACGAAACTCCCCTTGACCCACCCACCCATAAACGAAACTTTTTCTTTATTAACCCTTTAGGGCCCACAATTATTTCAAGAAATGCACTGCATACGCGAGCCCGGGTACTTATCTGGTCGTAACTTTGGTGTCCTTTGGCCGATTTTGGTGATCTTGGGCTTTCTGGAAAGCTCTTGGCCAGAGGAACACAGCGATAGCCAGCAATACATCATTCGATCCACAGAACCAGCGCCGCAGCGCGATACGGCGCTCCAAAGCCAGCATTGCGAGCGCCCAACTCAAATTCTCTGCCATTTCAACAAATTGCATCGCAGATCGCTCAAATTTTTTAACTGGAGAGCTGAGAAACATGCCTTTGCGATGACGTGAACTATCTGTAGCTGCGTGGGCCGCGAGTCAGGGAAAACCCCTAAAACGAGTTCAAAATGCACGCGCTCGAGTTGACTCTGCTGAGCGAATTTAGTTCGAGTCTCGTATCTCCGCTCTCCAAACTCGGATCGCTTTCGGGTTTTTTCGAGCCGATAGCTGAGACAATTCTAATGTCGATAGCCCTTTCGATTGTCCGATTTGGTCAAGGGACGGCCGAGTTACGCCAGGTTGCGCTTTGAAAAGTATGCACTGTACACTGGTACGGATATATCCGTACTATGGGCCTCAAAGGGTTAATGCGATTAATAGTATAAGTGAAGCGGACATTACAAAATGATGAATGAGAATACATGTATCTAAAATGGTTGTTCCTAATCGATTTTCTTGAGACTATCATCAGGGAAAATCGTTTCACAATAGAGGCTATACGGAGAAACAAACTACTTATAGGTTATCGGATAGTGGGAAGTATGCAAGGTGAGGTGTGAAAAAAAACTAAAGTGGGAGAGAAGACGAAAAAAATTAGCAGAAAAGATGTGAGAGTGTTCTGACGGTGTGAGCTACTACAAAAGGTGAGTGAAATGAAGGCGTGGAAGCAGGTGAATGTGATTTTCCCTGATGATAGTCTCAAGAAAATCGATTAGGAACAACCATTTTAGATACATGTATTCTCATTCATCATTTTGTAATGTCCGCTTCACTTATACTATTAATCGCATTAATAAAGTTATTGTCTCCTCGTCACCTTTTCAGAAACTTTTTCTCTTCGTGTAAAAGATCGATAATTGTGGAGTATAGGTGACAGCTAAGTGAGTATAGGTGACAGCAGACAACACTGCGAAGAAGTTTACAATCACAAAAATCGGCAATTTATTTCAACTTTCATGCTACGCGCTCAGGCAATGTCTATCTGCTCTCTGGTTGGCTATCTAAATTTACAATTCACCGGTCACATTCACAGGCCAGAACATGTGTTGCTACTTCATCATTCCTCCCTCACTTTTCCTTGTGTTCGAATGATACCAAGTTGTAGCCAGCGAAGAGTGTTCGTGTGAAGAAGCACGACATGGACATGCTACTTGGTCGAATCGAAACTATGGCTTCAGGTCTAGCCGACTTATCAACCGTCAAGTCTGGTCTTTAATTTCAATTTTGTTTCCTGTTCCTGTGTTTAGATCACCTTCTCCAGTGCCCCAGGCATCGCAGAAGTCAACGGTCTGGACAAGTACAACCGCCGCTATTCTCCCCATTTGGTAAGTGTGTGTGTGTAGTGTTCTGTATCTATCTCTGCTTTGCCCCGAACCAGTCATTCCCGCTGGCACCCATGCTGGCCAGAAGGGAACACATTCATGTTATAGTACTGTGCTGGCGCGTGCAATCTAACCCTCGGGCTCCTATAGTTGAGTGTCAACATGGGCTTGCTTACCCAGTGCATGCTTTGCCCGTGCACCATGAACAAGAAGGCGTCGTGGTGTACATGTACGCCCATTCTCTTCTCTATGGTGAAAGAACCGGACCGTACTTGTGCGCAAGCATTTCCCATCGACTGTTGAAATGCACCGGTATCATAGAATGCAATTACAAACAAGGCCGGTTCTGGAAGCTCGAGGTAGAGTGCTCAATGTACGAATGTACAGAGTACACACACACAACAGAGGCGAAAGGCTGTGTTAACTGTAACTTAAATATCTAGGCCTGCTCGTAGAGAATTCGATAGTGAATGCTGCTGTCTGATGATCGCTCCGATGCGTGAAACTTTAAGTTACAGCTAACACAGCCTTTCGCCTCTGTTGTGTGTAGAATGCAATTATGCATGTTGGAAAACCAGGTTTGACTTTCACAGGCTACGGTGCCTACAGAGAAGATGAACATACACACGTTGAGTCACATGCACACTCATATCTGCTGGAATGTGTCCTTCGTGTTCAACAGCTCCTTCATCAGTTTTGTCTAATCTGCTGTATTTCCCCGTTTTTGCTAATCTTTCAGGCTGACTGGCTCGGATTTGCCCTGATGGTCTTTCCCGTCGTTGGACTCCCATTCTTCCTCTGGAGACGCAGCTTCAACAGATATTCAACCGCAGAGCCCACGAAGAAGAGATCATAAAAAAATTGCTGAGAATCCTTCGTTGTGTATAATATTGTGTTGTTTGTTCATGTGTCCACATCTTGATTGCCATACTCCAGGCCCTCAAACCGGCATCATCGTACTGAGATGTCCATTTTATTTAGGTTTGTATCATAATAATACCTTTTTTTCTCTTTTCGTTTGAATGACATCGCCATGTAACTACGAAAATACCAATTGCCTGGATGGCATGCGTGAACCACACACGACTTGTTGTGCTGTTGCCGGTGCTGGCTTATGTCTTCTGGTACTGCTCTGTAATGTACGCTTGTCTCTGGGTGTTTGAAACCCGGCATCAAACTCTTGCTGTAGCTCAGTCTTTGCTCTAACTAACGAGCATAGTTCCCGATTACTGCTGTCATACTCTCCGTGCCGCCGCCACCGCAAGGTCCGCAGCATTCTGCAGTGCACTGCAGTTGAATATCGATTATCCGACCGCCTCTGGGCAGCGGGCCGGCCGTGGAAAGTGTTCGGTATATCACAGTACGCGCAACAACAGTCGTTTTTGTAAGTTTTGACCGGGGGTCGTAAAATACCCGTATTTTACGAAGTTCCCGTACGAAAATGCATAGCTTGAGCCGCGAAAATGTGTAGCTAGCTTGAGCCGCGTTCGGTTCGAAAACCGGATAATCGATGTTCAACTGTACATCAGGGACTTGTCAAAAACGACTCGTACCACGGTACTTGACGACTCCCTGATGTACATAATTATTGTATTAAAGTGACAAGAATTAGTTGCAGCCGTGGCAGCGATATAATCAATTGTATGAATTTTCGTCGACTTCAAGAATACGAGCCACGAGGCACTTCTTCCCACACGCAACATGCGAAAAATTACATCCAAAACGGGCCACAACTTTATTAGGGAACGCACGAACTCTTTTGGATACGAACTGCAATTCGTACAGTTTGTGTGACGACTTCACGTCTACGCGTGTGCGAGGCCTACAAATTGTATAAGTACGTTAAGTGTGAGCACGACTGCCATGTTTATGCGTTTTGCTGACGCATGGGCGTGTGTTCATGATCGCAGTGTGAGAAACGCTTCTTTGTTGTCAATGTTCACCAGTAGAACGGTAAAGATTAAAAAAAGAAAAGAAGAAAGATAGAAGAACATCTGCATGGCGTCCAGCCTGCTTGTCCGCACTACATGTACATGTATATCACTAAAATAATGTAAGGCCATGTAAAATATACATTGAATGTTTATTAGTGCAATTAGGACGGTATAATCGATGCAGACATGGCCAGACAACAACGAGTTCATGGAATTTTTAAGGATTTTTATGTTATTCAAAATCGATTTTCGTGTTCCGCTCATCAGTGAATAGTATCGGAACTGAGGAGCGGGATGAGACGGAAGAGAGCGACGTGAGCAAAAAGTCAGCTGTATTTTGTCACTTGTTATCACGTCCAGATTGTCTTAGTGTGTACGATGATTCTCACTTTTCTGTTTTGTGCCGTGCAAGTTATGTTAACCCTTTGTGAGTCCACTGGTTTCGGAGAAAATGACCAAATTTTCCATTCCGACAATAATCCCCTGTAACTCCACAGTTTTTGAGAATATGTAATTAGAAGTTGTGTTTTTCTGAATGGAATCGTTCGGCTGAATCCAAAAAACTATGTTAGAATGTTGCCATGGTTACCAATGTTGCCATATTAGGCACATATTGTCATAATCAAGTGTATAGCCGCGTTATTTACAGAGCGCACCATAGGAAGGAAATGAAACCATACTTTTATGTACAAATATACAGTAGACAAGATAGAAACTCACAGCACTGAGATAAGATATCCTTCACGGGAAGTGGCGTGCATGGTAAGCGGCGTAGCAGTCGTGGTCGCTCGTGATGTGGAGGTGAACATCGCACGTAGTGCAGTAGGTTACACACTGGTGCTGCTTGTTACCCACTTCTGTGCAGTTTCTGCAGTTCTTCCTTTTCCTCACTCCAGGTATGTGAAGCTGAGCAACAGGAACCTGGACATCCTGCGGAACAGGCACTGGGCGATACGAGCGCTTCGGTGGCGGTGCATGCTCATCAATCGATGACAGCTGCCGGATGAGGTTACAGCGGAAATCCGAGTGCTGCAAGTTGCATCGTCGACTTATCACCCCTGGATGCTGGCTCTGCCACAAGTGAAAGAGGCGGTATGCATTGACAGCGCACACGTCGACCATATCCAAGAAGAGACTCTTCCAGTATTTCTTCGTTTTGCGAAGCACACGGTGCGTTTCGATCAGCTGATCGAACGTGTCGACTCCACCCATGCTGCTGTTGTAGTCTCTGATGCACATTGGCCTCTGCACTTCCATTTGCTGGTGTGCACCATCAATCTTGACATTTCTTGTTACTGTGTCATGCTCATGGCCCTGATGTATGTTGCTGTACATTGACACACACCGCTTGTCCTTCCATTGCTGGTACAGGTGATCTCCGTTGCGAACATAGCGTGTTGCACCTCGCTCTGCATGTTTCTCGAACTGTTTCATGTCGGTCCGCAATACGGCTGGAAATCCAGTGCGGTTCGCGCGGACGGTGCCAACCAACGATATTTGCTTGGTACGAAGAGATGTGGCCAGGGTTTCGGAAGTGTAAAAATTGTCCGTGTAGATCACACTTCCGGCGCGCACGTCACTGACCAGCCGCATCACCACAGCATGAGTCAGGCCATTTTCACCTCCAGGTTGCTGGCCTGTGTAAACTTCAAAGTTTACAACAATGGAGCTTTGGGCGTCGCAGGCAGCGAAGACCTTGAAGCCCCATTTGACGGGCTTTTTGGGCATATACTGCGTAAAAGGAGCGCGTCCCTTGCACTTGACCATGCGCTCGTCAACACTAACGCACTTGCCAGGGATGAACAAACGCTTGCAGGCCGCCTGCAGATGGTCGTGAAGGTATCGCACCTTACGAAGTCGATCATTTATATCCTCTGCCCTGAAGTCCACAATCTTGATGAAGCACATCAGCGCTAAGTACCTCCGGTAGGTTCGAATCATGCAGCGTGCATAGTTTCCGTTGTACAACGACGTAACGCGCCAGTAGTCCCTCGTCGCAGGCAGAGGATGAAATCCCTGGAAGAAGAGAAATGCAAGGAGGCCGTAAAACTCATTACGGTTGGTCTCCTTCCACACACCATCCGTCTGGTACGTCTTTTTTTCAGCGATATGCTCGTGCGCATACAAATTTGTAAACTTGACAATTGAATCCACAACTTCGTCCGGGAAATATAGTTTGAAGAAATCAAGTTCACATGTTGGAGCGAAATTATCAGGTAGGTTCAAACCAGTGCCAGTTATGTTGAACTCAGGTGTATTGGTTTGCAGCTGGTCAACATCATCATAGCCACTACAATTTTCGTACTGTATACCACGTCCTCGTCCTTGCCCTCTTGCAGCTCCGCGTCCTCGCCCTCTTGCAGCTCCACGTCCTCGCCCTGTCGCAACTCAATGTCCTCGCCCTGTCGCAGCTCCACGTCCTCGCCCTCTTCCACGCGCGGGGACACCTACTGCTTGGCCTCTGCCTCGTCCAGCGCCACGTCCACGAGCAGCGACGGGAACAGGAATAGCGATATCGTCAGCCGAATCGGATCCTATTTGCTCCAAGTCGGAAAAGAGATCGTCATTCAGGCGATCTTCCTCGTCAGACGAAATAAAATCGTTGTCCGAGTCGCCTACCTCGTCGCCTGAAGAGCAAGCGATATCCTCTACTGGGAGATCTGCTTGGTCCGCGTCTTGTATTAGGCGAAGCGCCTCGTCTGCATCCATCGCTGGATAAGTCCAAATTCTAATTTTGACATAATTGCAAAGGCTCTTTCAAAGCGTGCTATCAAAAAAAATTTAGTGGCGACCTACATCATGTTTAGTACCTACGTCACGGACATTTTCTCAGGTACGCGGTGGTGAAGTCTCGGCGCGATGCGGTAAACCAGTCAAGCGCGACGATCAAAAATGTGACGCGCATTTGAAACGAGCGAAATCGCTCGTTGAGCGCACAAAGGGTTAAGGTGGCAGTCTGGGTTCAGAGGGTCAAAAAACAAAGTTTCGATTTTCTGTATTTTTTCACTGGCAGCGTCTTGTGTATGGTCCAAAGGGTTTATCCTGAAAATTTGAGCGTAATCGGGTGCTTCCTTCCGGAGATATAGCCGCGCAAAGTCTGCACAATTGTTTTTGAAATACTGAAATATCAGCAAATTTCTACAAAATTTAGGTTTGCACACTATTCCGATTTTTACCGTCAATCTTTGAGCGATTTCATTAAAATTTTCTGGAGCGACTCCTGGTACTCCTCTGCGCTGCAGACTGACAGCCGCGCACGATCTTTGTCACCATGGCAACCAAGATAACTTTTGCGCATGCGCAAATTCAAAAAAATTCAAATTTCGACTCTCATGATCTCAGCTGATCGCTCTGCTGTTGAAACTAGTTACTTTTGGAGTAATTGTTTTGGAGTAATTGTTTCTTGGAGCTAACCCCTTCGTTGGCTACTATGGGGAAGTCTAGAGCCAAGGGAAAGCCCGGACGATCTAAGAAAAGGAAAAGAACGTTCTATGGAGTGTCTCAGGCGCCGAAGGCTCCCTCTGGTGAAATTTCGCCTGCAAAACAAATTCCTGACTTGCCACTGTCTGATGACGACCTTGAAGTGTCAGCTGAAGCCACGTCTTCAAACAGCGATAGTGATGGAAGTGGCGGTGAAGTCGACAGCAGTTCCTCCGACAGTGACTTGGATGAAGAGTGTGAGGAAGGGGCGCATGGATTTCGCCTGATTGATCTCGAGTGCCTTCAGCAGCTTTTGTCAGCTGCAGTTTGTTGCAGTGGCTGTAATGGCGCAGTCACGATCAGCGAATCGCAACGGGGAGGCCTTGCATCATGCCTGGAGCTTTCCTGTGTTAACTGCGGCGACATAGCAAGCGAATTTATGTCCAAGAAGTTCAATCGGGTCTGGGAGGTGAACAGACGAGCAGTATTCGGAATGCGACTGATTGGCCGTGGACGTCAATCAATGGTAAAGCTGGCGGGTGCACTGAATATGCCATCACCTATGAGTCGGTCGACATTTTACAGCCATGCTAAAGGCCTGCATTCCGCGTCCAAGAGCGTCGCTGAGCGTAGCATGACTGAGGCAGCTGAGAAAGCAGTGTCCGCAGCAGATGGGGGTAGCGATATCGCTGCTTCCTATGACGGTACCTGGATGCGCCGAGGATTCGCATCGCTCTTCGGAGCCTTCACTATAATTGCATATGATGTCGGCAAAGTGGTGGACTGCGAAGTGCTTTCAAAGTTTTGCCACAAGTGCACGCACTTGGCGTCTAGAAAAGAGAAGGGAGAGCTAACCAAAGATGACTATGATCGACAGATTGCCGAACACGATTGCTCAGTCAACACCACTGTATCAGCTCCTGCCATGGAGAGTGCAGCCGCCAAGACTCTGTGGGCCAGGTCCTTTGAGAGCCGCAAGCTGAGGTACACCACCTACATTGGTGATGGAGATACCAAGAGTTTTAAGGCTGTGCGTGACGCTTGTCCGTATGGGCCCGAGGTGCCTGTAGTCAAGGAGGAATGTGTCGGCCACGTTCAAAAACGCATCGGTACCAGCCTAAGAAAGCTGAAGAAAAACCTTGCGGGCAAGAAGCTTGCTGATGGGCGCACTATAGGCGGACGTGGTCGCCTCACGGATGCCATGATCGACAAGCTGCAAGCCTACTATGGCATGGCTGTGCGGAACAACAGCGGAGACTTGCAAGCCATGGCCAGGGCCATATGGGCATCCCTCATGCATCGTGCATCCAGCGACAGTAAACCTCAGCACCAGTATTGTCCGCCTGGAATTAACAGCTGGTGTAGATGGCAGCAGCAACAGGCAGGTGGTGATGTCTACGCCCACCACAATATCCTGCCAGAGGCAGTATGGAAGGAACTGAAGCCGGTCTACATTCGGTTGTCCGACCGGAGTTTGCTCGAGCGCTGCCAGAAGGGTGCTACGCAGAATCGCAACGAAGCGTTCAATGGACTCGTGTGGCAGTTGTGTCCAAAGACAGGCTTTGCATCCGCTCCCACTGTCCAGATGTGCGTCTACCTGGCCGTGGCCTGGTTCAATGATGGAGGTGTGGCAGTGAAACGCGTTCTGGACGAGATGGGCCTCCCTACTGGACACCATACGACACGTCTCATCAAGCTGCTAGACCGTGAGAGACAGGCACATGCTGCCAGAAAGAAGTCAGAAGAAGGGAAGAGGTCACGAAAGAAGCGAAGGAGGATCAGGAAAGGCATCCAGGATGAGCAGCAAGAGGAAGAAGGTTTGACATATGAAGCTGGTGGCTTCGACTAAGTTCTAGTAAGTTCTAGTTGGACAGACATACCTCCATCTGTACTTGCACAGAGCACTTTTTTTCTCCATTTTCCACTGAGTCCCGTACCTCTTAGACAGCGTAGCGAAGAACCTGTAAGTCACAGACCCCATAAACCATACATTTTTGGAAACTGTGAGCATTTATCAAGGTGCTAAGTGTCATGGATTTTTATATTTGTCTAGTAGCTTTGAGTAAAGTGCTACTGATCGAGGACCTAAATTTTGCGCGATTGCATGATTTTTGTTTGACAGCTTGAGTACTTTGTTCTGAATATGATTTCAAAATTCCGCTCCACTTAGCACCTAGGTATATGTGAAGGAAATCCTGTGGAGCACTCAGTTTCTACCCAGCTTCTTTCTGCGTTTGCATATTGCGTCTAAGGTATTGGTGGTACGGCATAATCGCAGATTTGACTATTGTGTCTGCGGATTCCCATGTGTGAGCTTGATTTATACTTCATTGGACTTAGTGAAATACACTGGGTATGTGGTCAAGATTTGAGCAAAATTCATCAATTATTATGGAAGTTACGGCTGTGTTCATGCGGTCGGGCCGCGAACCCAGACTGCCACCTTAAGCAGTTGAAGGTTCTGGAAGCTGTATGTATTCGTGTGCATAATCCTGTTCTTTGTAAACAAAAGAAGCATGTAGTCGCGCTAAAGTTGTTCTCGTAGCTGGTTATCAGATGTAAATGTTGTGTCATGTTGCACTGTATCACCTCTTGCTTTGTGGCTGCACTCAGTTATATACGTTAGCACTGTGTTTGACACCTATTATGTAATGCTGTAGCACTTCCTTTGTTGTTCACACTTTTAATTAATTATGCTGTTATAAAATGTTCTATTTTTGTACACAGTACCCTCAGTTCCGATACTATTCACTGATGAGCGGAACACGAAAATCGATTTTGAATAACATAAAAATCCTTAAAAATTCCATGAACTCGTTGTTGTCTGGCCATGTCTGCATCGATTATACTCCTAATTGCACTAATAAAATTGCTTTCTCCACGCCGACTCTTTGAATGTTTATCGTCAGATTTTCCCGAGAAATCGGGGCGGACGTATTTCATTTCATTTTTTATTTTGCATGTATGGCTGTATGGTAGGTGTTCGCAACCCCTGGACATGCCTCTTTCTTCGCTTTTCTTTTTTTGAAGCCATTTTGCACAGGATGAGATAAATCCATGTGATGCAGATGAATCGTCAGCCACGAATAAAATCTTGCAAGATAATTTTGAGGACGCAAATAGGGAAAAGTGAAACAACCAACGTGCAACGTAGGACAAAAAAGAGAATCAGGCAGCTGATAATCTCTTTCACTTTTCAAGCCTATAGCACCTTCATGCACATGTATGATTCAATCTGCGGACTTCGCCTTCCAAGATCTACAGCCTAGCCACGCTCATTAGAGGCCGTAATCGCCGTATAGGCATACATGTACATGAAGATTGTAGTACATACAGTTTGGTTTGGTTTGGTTTGGTTTTTATTATTTCAGTTCGTTGCCTCAACAGTACAAAGTACAAATATCAAGAGGGACGAACAAAAAGAGAAAATAAAACATAGCAGAGAGGAAGATGCAACTGAAAGGAAAGAAAAACGGAGAAGGAATGTGGACTGGGCGGATTCATGAACCATTACTAGAGCAGGGCAATGCATGAACAGAAGGGGCAAGTCCGTCGATATTCATGTTTGAAAAATTCCAAGCCTTATTTTATTGGTGAAATACATTTTCAAAAAGGAGGGGGTATAGGGATATAGTCAATTTGTCGTCATTTAGAGCGTGCAAAAGTTCTGTAGAAAATGATCTGATGTCCTCACTTCCTTTCAAGTGAGCAGGGAGGGCATTCCACATCAGGGATGCTCTGGAGGAAAAGGAATTGTACCCTACCATGGATTTATACAAGCAAATTGACAAATTGTTTGTTGTAGTTCCACGAGTTGACCGCTTAGAGGTGGGCAAAGGGAAAAGACTGCGTAAGCATGAGGCAGGCTGAACAATATGACAAATAAACGTAAACGTAAGAAATTGATAAATGTATCGATATTCAAGGTGTTTTATTTGAAGAGAAGCAAGAAGGGGTGGTACAGCATCATAATATGAAGCACCGCAGGTAACTCGTACAGCTCTACGGAACAAGGTAAACAATCTCTCCCTGGACTGTGCTGATAGGTGGGATGCGTAAACAGGGAAACAATACTCAAAGTCGGGATGAATCACACTAAGCAGGTACTGGCGACGGGCAAATGCTGCCATTTGGCGGAAGGTGCGTCGCAACGCGCCTATCTTGCGTGACACCTTGCTGGTGAGGTGATCTACGTGTGGAACAAATGAGAGCTTGTTATCGATAAGGATACCAAGGCAGCGAATTACACTCACTTCCCTTAAGGTAGTGCCACCCAGCTCAACAAGAACGGGTCTTTGTACGTCAGGAGCATTCTTCGGCAAGATCCTCATGACCACGGTTTTGTCAACATTAACGCTCATGCCCAGTGATCTTAGTTCATTGTGTACATATACCAGAACTAAAAAATAAAATAATTCGCCCGGGAGGGCAAAAAATCGGGGCGGGCGCGCGCTGACGATAAACAGTCAGTCTTTTTTTACTTGGCCTAATCCCGGAATTTCGCTGTGGCGCCAACCCATCTGAGCTGCACATGCTGTGTTTCTATGTTACTATGTATCCTTGCTTCTAGCATGAGTGGATTCAAAGAAGCATTTTTGCGATCCGCGACCGTGCTTGCTGATGTGACCTCAAAGCTCAATGCGAGGGTGTACGTCACCATAGCATTCGTGTAGCTGGGTATAACTTTTACCATGTACGAGAACTCTTGAACCTTTTGTACATTTTAGTTGGGGTGAAAGGGGTGATCCGGGTACCCGTTTGTTTAGCTGCTGACCCGTTAGCAAACGAGTACCCGTTAGTCGTGTACGACGGTACAGTACGGTAATATTAGCTGATTTGCACAGTTGTTCAATTTGATGTACAGGTTGAATGTGTTGTTGCTTGTTCGATCCTGCTAAATTAGACAATTTAAACTGTTTTGCATGTAGCGCAGTAAGTGCGCATGCTGCGCTTGTCGCGTTGTAGTGCACTTGCTGTGAATTACATGACTTTGCATGCCCTCCTGGCACGAAATGTATAGTAACTGTCACTATTGGCTGCTAAAGGGTACCCGATAACCAGCCCGTTAAGCCAGGTACCCGTTTGTAACCTTAAAGGGTAACCGTTTCACCCCTACATTCTAGCTACAAAGAAGGTCCAAATCACACATCGCATTGCATGCCCATTGCGAAAGTTCACCCAAGCCCGAACATGCATCAAAGTTTGTGGCAGCCACAAAGATACCATGTACGTATACGCACTCTCAATTTCCAATATGCAGCGACCAATTATGCTACAGTTCGCCTGCACACTCTGTTGATTCCACAGAAATCAACATGGTGTGGAATTACTTGCACAAATAGCATGCATATTCCACTTCACCAAAACAACACAAAATCATGATATTGAAAAATGTTCAAGCCCTAGAAAACCATGATCTGACCAGTCAAGACACTCTCCTACAATCACATGGACTTGCAAGCGAATGAAAGGCAGGCCATTCAAACAGTATTGATGTAAATAAGATTACAATGACTGTGCTCTTTGTACACAGATCACTCTGTCAATGTAATGAAGCTGCCGGCATGCTTATACGAATTCAATGATCTTTTTTTTGTGTGCATGTGTGTGTGTGTGTGTGTGGTTCAAGATAGTTACACGTGCGTCGATCTCAAGTTCCATTAGCCAATGCACTGGGCGGAGAAAGCTGTAGGCACCGCAATCGTCGCCAGGTCGTTCCCGCTCGGTACGGGCAGAGGATCGGGTATGGGTATCAGAGGTGGTGGTGTTGGCATGTCCACTGCGCATTCAGCTGGGTTCTCTGTGCACACCTGTACAAGACACACACACACACACACACACATACACATACACATAAATCCAGATTTAGCGCTAAATTTGTTTATGCTTGTGGCCCTATGTGTTTATAAGCATACTGTTGGGTAGACACGAGTGTCAGTTGTCTGATGATTGCCTAGCGGCATGAAACTCAGAGTTACAACCAACATGAACGTCCTCCGCTGAGTCTGCTATACACATACACATATATAAATTTGATCGATGTGGATCAGAGAAATGCCACTATAACTATCATGAGTCAATCTCCGCACAGCTAGCTGTTTCGACCCTGTTAAGTCTCAGCAGCGGAGCTCAGAGCCACTGGTCAAACCGCGATCGCAATGCAGTCCAGTCAATAACAACGTATTTTTATTCTATTTTTTTAATCAACTCGAAGCATCAAAATCGAAGTGCTCTAACTGCGAGAAACACAGCAAGCTTTGCACTTGTCCATGGCTGTGTTAAATTAATTTGTAAAAGAATTACAATCAATATTAAATTTCGTTTGAACTCAGATGGTGAGCCAAGGAGAAATTTGTAATTATGGAAAAAATTAATGTGGGCACAAGTTATGCGATCGAGTCCACCAACTGAACCAGATTTTGAACAGTCAGACGTGCACAATCCAGCACAAAACTGACAAAGAGTACTGAGACATTCCACGGCATGAAAGTCAGCTTGAGCACTGCTCGATAGCGCTAACGAACACAACCAATATTTGTTTGGCTTGGCCTAATCGTGCGCTTTTGAAAGTATAATTCTCTTCGAAGCATATTCCAGCATACTCCAAGGATAGATAAGCTCCGCAAGTTGGAACACTGTCAAGAATGCTCTGGACCGCAAGGGGCTACTCTGGATGGCAATCATGAGTCAGTCAAGAGTCAAGTCAAGTAGACAGGGACAGTGCAAACTCCCATGTATAGCCTACGCAGCCGACATTTCCTCGTCAAAATGAACGTTCGGGTGAAAAGCAGCATGCGCAATCCAGCCTCACATTCTTCGTAAAAGAAGTTAGCGTTGACTTTATCTTAAGTGGAGTTCCTAAGCAGACTTCAGCCTGATAACACTGGTCCCACTGAGTGCAGCTCTGGTCCTCAGAATACAGCACTGACAGCTTACAGTACTACGCAGCCTTGCAGAATGCCCCCCATCCCCATCCATCAGCGTGCCTAAGTTACAACTGGCTACAGGCATTGTTACAGAGGGGCATGTCTACAGTGTCTGCTCTAGGACTTCAGAACAACCGGGTATACGTGTACCTGGCACAACCCTTGCAACCGGGTCAGAGGCCGGGTCCGTTCAAGTGCTACTGCATGTACATCAGGGAATTCTAAAAATTTAGAACTCCCTAATGTATTCCCAACCGAGTCACAGGTGACATGGTGTTCTTTTTCCAAACCGGTCCAAGTACCCCCCCCCCCCCCCCCCCCCAACCGGGTCGCTGACCCGGCTGACCCGACTCTGGAGATGGCACTGGTCTACTAACCGTTTGAATGATGGGAAACGGGAAGAAGACGTCCGGATCGGCCTGGTCGGGAGGCTGTATCAGCTGCTGGGTGGTATCGAGCATTCCGACAGGGTCGTAGAAGAAGCGCAGCTGCAGACTGCCGAACGTGCCCAGGCCGGGCAGCGTGAAGTGAACGCGGGCATTCTCCAGCGTCCGCTGCTGGCCAGCCACCAGTGGCTCGGGAAAGAAGTAGTCTATGACTGCGGGACTGTCGATCTGCGTAACTCTCAGCATCGTCTCGTTGAACGGTGTGAAATCTTGGCCACAGCCTGCGATAGCAGGATTACTAGCCTCGTCCAGCAGGATCTGAACGGATCGGTCGAAAATGCTGGGTGTGAAGATGTTGAAAACGGCCGTGTACGCAGCTGATGGTGTCAGCTCTCCGCCGCCATTGCCAAGAACGTCCTCCTGCTGGCACGTCTGGCTCGGGGGACATGCTGTTGGCGCTGTTGGCGCGACGCTGCCCGAGGTTTCCATCGGCCCTTGTGTTGTTCCCTCTGAGTCCGTCGTACTCACGTACTCTCCATTCAAGGTGGGCTCAATTGGACTTTGGTCTTCTTCGATCGAGGGGAGTCCATCTTCTGCGTCGCCATCGGCGGAGTTCTCCTCATCGAGATCTGCCTCGTCGTTATCGTTGTCGCTTTCAGTATCTTCGCTGTCGATCCCGTCGTTCTCCGATGACGTTTCCCGATTAGCATCGTCCCGAGATTCAGCATCATCGCCGCTACTGCTGCTACTTCGCGAGAGGCGACCAAGTAGAGTATTCGCATGGCGGACATGATAACCTTCAGACCTCGCGGCTAGAGACGAATCGAACAATTCTGCGATGCTTGCTGCGTGAGCCACCGCCAGAAAGAGCGCGACGGCCAGGGCATTACGCAGAGGTGTCTTCACGTCCATTAGACTTAGAAACTTCATCGCAGCGCTCCTGCTCTTGCTGCTGCGACTGCCACCTGGATGATCCTGACAGAAACGGGACTATCAGCCTCTGCTGGAACGCCTTTACAGCACGATTGACATTGTTCTCGGGAACCTGTACCCGATGTTCTTCCGCTGGAAGCGTCTTGGCGCTCTGTGCCTTCTCTCTGGCGGCTCTCCTCACTTCCAAGGTGCTGGCCACAACACAACAAGAGCTGAACGCTGACATTGTTCGACCAGCACACCGCCTAGACTAGTACTAGTAGTAGTAGTAGTCGGGGGGAATTGAGAGTAGCTATACTGGTCCAGTGGCTGTACGCAGGCGAAGGGGTCAATGCTAGGGCAACACTAAGTCTTGTATGCTTATACAAGGCCACTGAGACTTACTTCACTAAGCTAAATACTTCGACAGCGACAATTACAAGGACCAGTAACTGTTTCTGTTTGAAAAGGCTCGCGGAAACGTTTACGCAAACTGCAGGTGAAAGAGCCGATAGGAAGGTGACGTTCGTGGTCGATACGTCGTGATGAAAGAAAGTCATGTCCAACGAAATGCGGCTGCTGCACACGAGCCACGAGCTCTCTGAAAGGACCTACCGGTATCCTTGTCGTACAGAGAGTGCCACTGGCCAGAGGTTTTGGTGTGACCGCGGCCTAAACGGGGTAGGGCCAGAGATGCAAGAACTAGCTGTTGCTTGGCAGATAAAAAAAGGAACATGACCACGATGACTGCACGTGCAGGAGGACGCCCTCGAACGACCTCATCTCACTTCAGCAGTCGATCCAGCATCGACGCGACGCGTCGACGACACCTTCCTAGATCCTAGATCCTCAGTTTGAGCAGCCCGTGCAGTCTGTTCAGTGACAGTGTTCTGTGTTCACACATGGGCACCATTCAGATCGTCACGGCTCGTTTGTCGCCATCGGCCTTCACACACGCGACCTTTGTGCCAGCAGAAAGTCTACACCCGGGGGGTACCCGACAAGCCTTGTCCGTCGATTGTGCCATTTACCTGTCACCGCTTAGCCGAACACACGCCTATCGCTGTTTCTGCTGGTGAGAGATTCTGCCGTCTCGTCTCTTGTGAAGTAATTAGTTGTGGACCAGTCCCCACACGAACGCGGAAACACAGTTTCGGCGGGATTCCACAGTAATTCCAAAGCGCTAATGAGCCATGTTAGCGAAAGACGTCACCATGCCCAATTCGCTACCGACGTATGCTCGACCGATCGGTGACAATGACCGTGGTGCTCACTCCATGGTGTTCTCTCGTAGACGTAGGTAAACACTACAAAGCAAGTTTTATTTTATTTTTTATTTACTTGAAAAGCACGTAGCCACCATGAAAGCTGACGAAGACAAAAGAGTTAGACAAGACAGAAGTACACGGTGATTGTACTAGTGTTAGTGTCTGTCGTCAACCCCGGGGTTTCACAGTTTTCGTGAATGATTACAAGCATGTGCACGTAACAACAAGATCAAAGTTTCTTTTCATCAACACACACACACACACACGCACGCACAGACACACACCACAGGCCGTCGCACATTCACACGCCCACACCCACAAGTCCAGTGCAGTGCAAATGCCACACTCTACAAGCGTCTAGATTTGTATGAGAAGACACCAGCCCTTCACTCTTTTGCGAGTGTGAAACCTCGGCCTTTTACTATCATTAGTATCGATCATATCAGAGACTTGTAATCTGTTGAAGGCAAGCTGACATCGTGACACGCAGGTTATAGTTGTAGGGTGGAGCAACACGTCCTTACAATCTCGTGTAGATCTTCATGACTTCAAGTAACGCCCTGCTGTCAGTGCTGACCACGAGAAGAGACTGCAGGTGCATGATGTGGAGGAAGAGATGTGAAGACTCCTTCAGGAGAATACGTTCAGAGGTCAACATTGGTCACCGGAAATATACAAGCATCATGCAAACATCGATGGCAGCGTGGAGTACAGTCCCTGGGGGACACAAATGCCCCTCTCTGTGTCTGTCTGTCTCTGTCTGCCTGTCTGTCTGAATGCATAAAAGAATAGCCAGGGTAGAGGGGGTGGATCAAAGAGGAATTCAGAAACTTCAAAAATAAGAATGAGGAACAACAGCTGTGATATGAATTCATCACCACGTGACCACATGCATTGAATTCCTTTTGCAACACTGTATACTAGAGACGACTAGACTATAGTCGGTTGCCAGTGGTTGGGCATTACATCCACTCACCAGCAGTGGTAAATGAAATACAGTCCGAGGTTGAGCCGTTTTCGTGTATGTTTTACCAAGACAACTCTAAGAACCATGCATGCAGAAATGAACAGTCAGTCAGACAGTGGCTGTGGTGGTGAGGTCTGAGGAGCTCCACCGACCTAAGCCTAAGCTCTCGGCTTCATAGCGCGCTGGCCAGACGCACCATGGAGAGAGGGAGGGAGTGTGCGTATATACATGTGTGTGTGTGTGTGTGTGTGCGTACATTTATGTGTGTGTGTGTGTGTGTGTGTGTGCGCACGCGCCGTCCTCTTCATAGTACGGGCACGGACGTACCTGCGTTGTCTGTAGTGTTACATACATAAACATGTGATTCGAAGTGCTCCGTTGCAGATAGCAAGCCTTGACGTAACACATACATTCGTTGCAGGGCCAGTGTATGGTGTCGTAGCGTCTTGCTGCATTGATTTCCCATCATGCCACTGGTTGAATAGTATCCCATAATGGGAACCTTCGTTATAATCATGCGTTTACGTCATCTGCACCCCAGCGATCATTTTAAGGAGCTGTGAATGCCTTTGCAGATGGGTAGCATATCGACCCACCTATGAAGGGACTGAGGACTAAAAGCAACATAGGTTAGCCAGGGGAGCCGAGGAATGGCAGTACCACGGTGGCATCGTGCCATGAGCAAACAAAGAGACTACGGACGACGATCGCATGACGAAGCCTGGATGTTCTTGGGGGCGCTAGCGAGGTGCCTGTACTTGCACTTGATCACTGTGGGAATTGTGTCAACAGGATTTCCGATCGGCCATCATCAACACAACGGTTACTACAACGGAAGAGTATTTACTTTGTCCGCTGCTGGCAAGCCATGAGGTAGCATGGTGACGATCCATCATCGGAACCAGGGAGTAGTAGTGTACTGTACAATACATATTGTACTACTCCCTGATCGGAACACGCATACGCAATGGTGGTAAAACTGACCATCCCCATCTTGATAACATACGGGTAATATCTGTGCGCATCACTATCAGTGCAGTGCCGGGAGAAGAATAATGGTGGCTTGCTTGTCATGTAACGTCTGCGGAAGTAAAGATTACGCTCCGCAATTGACATTGAAGTCTTCATACATGGCAGCAAACAAGAATCGGTACCATGTGCCGGCCACAACATGAATACTTCTCGCGTCTAAGACACCGTGTATACAATCATGTAGCTTTTTAGTGACACAGTGCATGAACTGACCAGCGATCATCATGATCATGACCATCGGCATTGCTATTATTTAGTGTAGCTGCTCAAGTGCGAGAATCTGCGGAGCGAGATGGTTTCGCGTCTGCTGTGTGCACCGACGGTACGTAGGCTGTGTACATCAGTCATTAGATCAAGGTGTGAGCCCTCTGCACTCGGTAGATCTAGAGACGAGTCGAGCCAGATGTACTTCCGGTGCAGACACTCCAAACAGGCGGGCTCACAGAGTCACACCCTAGTATGGCAACCCTCCCATCCCCCTTCCCTCCCCCCCCCCCCCTGTTTAATATATGCTACCTATTCAATATCGCACAAGTGGAGAACCAACCCCTTGATAGGCTACCTACCTCTGGGTCATCCCTCAAATAAATAAAGATAAAGATGTCTCACCCCCACTAAGACAAGGTGAATACAGTAGAAGTCGTTTTGGCCGAAGATTAAAAAAAATGGGGCCAAGGCAAACCCTACACTGTTGAGTTTTGGCACAGAGCTGAATAGTTCGTATCACCCAAATCCAATACAGGATCATGCAATGCCATCAAAACAAGCCAAGTCCAGTGCTGCTCATTGAAATCGAACCATGGGAGTCAAGTACAATGTACTGATAAAGGAAGGACGTATATTATTACTACTTCGAAGTACAATATATACACGACTACAGTACAGTTGGTTCCTCCGGGACATTGTGAAACATCACTTTACAACTGCTGGAGTGTTAACATGCTACTAAATGTGCTAGCGAACCTCCTAGCCGAATCTGACATTGTCACGATGGAAGCATTTTCACCTGGACCTCGATCATGCAAGGCATTGAAATCTGCGAGCCAGCCCGCAGGGCATACTGCATGCACAGTTGAGGAGGCTCAGTCAAAGATCCTCCGCCCCAGCGATGTTTCATGAAGTACACTTATTAGCAATAAACATCTTTGGAACTACATTAAATTTTACACACACACAACAGAGGCGAAAGGCTGTGTTAGCTGTAACTTAAAGTTTGACGCATCGGAGCGATCATCAGACAGCAGCATTCACTTAAATTTTACATGTATCTTGGATTGATTTTTGGATTGGATTTTTATTTATAGTGATGACTATAACAGACAATTGCCTAATAACAATAGACCCACTCGAGGGAAAGATGCAAAAAGATATGAATAATTAATATAATAGACTACCGGTATTGGATAGGTGATCATGTTCGCATTTTGCATAGCTGAAAGTCATAATTACTAGCGTGAAAAAGCAAGGCATTGGGGTAACAGCTTCTTAAAACGGGCGGAGTTATCCACACAGCGAGCTAGAGGGTGCAAATCATTCCACAGCTTAGCACATTGGAAGGAAGCGCCATGACGGGCAAAGGCAGTTCTGAGCATGGGCAACTTAAGAGTGCGTGATAAAAGGCTGCGCGTTGCAAGACCATTATTTAAACGCTCGAACATTTGACTTAAGGGGGCACATCACCCAAAAATTCGCTGAAAAATCGAATTTGTAAATTCATATTGAGTGCTACGTCAGTTGAAAGAGCATGAATAGCTGCAAATTCTCTGAAAACTGTGTCCCTATCTGACCAGCCGTTCAAGAGTTATGGCCGAAAATGTGCCCTTGCAAGGAAAGATTTTTTTGTTGCATGCTGTCATTTGTTGGCAGCACTGTATTTGAATGTGAGCAGACCGTGCGCAACTTGTCGTATTATGGAAACACGCGAAAGTGTGCAGAATTTTGCCCCAAGTCCAAAAAAGTCCAAAAAATCACGTTAAAAAACCACGTATTGGGCTGCACGGCGGCGGGCGAAGCCCGCCGCCGTGCAGCAGGACTTTTGCCAGCACCCTCGTGACGTTGCAGATATGTGGCTTGATTATAGGGCTTGAAAGTGCTACGTCACAGCATAGCAACAATTTCAAAAATTCAAAAACTGGATCCACTTGGATCCAGTTTTTGTATGGATCCAATCACATTTCAAGCGGTCTTACCCACAGCATGGTGATGTAGCCAGTGAAACTGACTGATTTGGCTACTGGGGGCGGGGTTACAACTGGTGGCGAAATAAAAGTCACACCTGCATGCGACATGAGTGGGTTGCTATGCACCCACATACTTAGGCAATAGCAAAGTCACACCTTAGTGGATCCAAAAATAGAAATCTGATG